TTGGTGCAGCTCTCCCTTCATTTTGCTGCCATTTTGTGCAGCCTTTCATTTTCATTTGCTGCTACTTTTGCAGCTTGAACACCACAACTCCAACATGTTTAACCTATAGTTAATTCTTTTCGGATTATACTTATGTTGTGACATCCTGTGCTATCAGTTTTTTTTTCTTTTTTTTTTTACACGAAAAAAATTAATTTTATTCATGGAGAGTACAAGGAGTACTCAACTCTTGAAATACAAGTTTAGAGTGCCAACTAGTTCACCAAAACCTGAAATGGAATCTGGACATGGAACTTCCGTTGGAGAAGAAGGCTTTTCAGTTGGGAACCAGACATGGAGGCTGAACTTGTAACCATTCGCAATGGCTGCAAGTTAACTCAAGGACAACCTGATATATGATGCTGGAAGCATGATCAAGGAGGAGATTATTTTACAAAGTTTGCTTATTATTAGCTAGCTGGTCAGAGATGCTTCTAGAAATATGTCACTGGAGTTAAAAAAAAGTTGGAATAAAAAAGTGCCCTCGCTCAAAGGTATGTGCCATGAATTGGTTACTAATAAGGAATGGACTGCCAACTAGAGCAAATCTTACCGGAAGAAGCATTATACAGTAGGATCAAGCGGTTTGTGGGCTATACAATGAAGATATGGAGAGCTCTAGTCATTTATGCTGCAAGGTGGCCTTCTCTTTATGGATGCACTGCTATAGATGGTGGAATATGGTTTTTGTACTGCATAATAATTGTAGTAATGCCATTTCTCGACACTATTTTCCTTCTAGATTACGAGTGATTAGGGACGTGTGGGGAATTATTTGGTTTGCTATCACTTGGAATGGCAAGGAATAATAAAGTCTTCAACAACAAAGAGGAGGATGTGGAGACACAGTTTCATCTCGTGCAAGCAAGGTTATGTCACTGGGTGATAACATAAAAATTGATCAAGTGTAGAACGGTGTTTATGCATACAGCAAGAGAGGAACTAAAGGGCAGTAAATTTGAAGAATAAAAGTAGAGTGACTGAAAGTTGAAATGACTTTATTGCTGAATATTGAAAGCTGAACAACTTCAAGAAGAAAATATGATGAAAAGATGAGAAATTGACACACAATACAATGGGTCATTCTCCTTATTTATAGACAGCAAAAACACAAAGAAAAACAGAAGTTTGTTGTAACTCTCCTACTAAAAACGTGGCTTCATCAGATAACAAGAATCTGGTATGCTCCACTTTATTAGGACTCTACAAACAAACTTATTTGACTTGGTCTTCAGCAGTTCAACGTAAATGTTATGCATTGAGGTATCCTTTGAGGAGTGGTGCAATGATCCTGTAGTTTGTGTAACGTTGAAATCGGTGTTAAAATAGGTTTTCGTGTCTAGTTGGCACTCTAAACTTGTATTTGAAGGGTTGACTACCTTTGATTTGTACTCTCCATTAATGAAGAGGTTTAATGTCATCTATTAAAACATTCATGGTTGTATCACGTAATATATTTATCCTCTGTATTAAGCACACTTTTACGTCTCACCCACACAATATACTGCAAAATTTGCCATACAACATTTTGCCATGTAAGTGCAGATCATAAATATACTTATTGTTGTGGTTTTAATGGTCCAATGCCCAGAATCAAAGCAATCAAAGACACAATCAATCACCCAAGAACAGAATAAGCAATCAAGTAAAATAAAAAGAGGACACCAGAATTTTTACGTGGAAAACCCAAATGGGAAAAACCATGAGGCACTTGCCCAAATGAAAAACAATCCACTACTGAAAATGGATTACAAATTTCGGATCACAATCCGAATCTCTCAAAGTTCTAGCATCAACAAGGGAGATTTTCTCTCAACCTCACTCTGTTTTTCTGCACTGCTTTCCCACTCTGTTTTTCACGTACTCACCATAACATAAGCACATGTGAGATGTACCTCTAAGATACCTGAAAATCCATTTAACTGCTGCCCAATGTTGCTTGCCAGGATTAGATAAAAATTTGCTGACTACCCCCACTGCGTGAGCTATATCTGGCCTTGTGCATACCATAGCATACATTAGACTACCAACTGCAGAAGTATATGGCACATTCTTCATGTATTTCGCTTCCTCCTTGCTTGTAGGACATTGCTCTGTGCTAAGTTTGAAATGGCCAGCAAGTGGAGTTCCCATAGGTTTTGCTTTGCTCATGTTGAACCTGTCAAGCACCTTTTCAATATATTTTTCTTGTGACAACCACAGCTTCTTATTCTTTCTATCTCGAAAAATTTTCATTCCAAGAATTTGCTTTGCTGGACCCAAATCCTTCGTAGAAAAGGACTTGCTCAAGTCAGTCTACAAGGCTGCAATTTTCTTTGTGTCATGACCAACAATCAACATGTCATCCACATAAAGCAAAAGTATCAAGAAATCACCATCTGGATACCTCTTAACATAAACACAATGATCAGATTCTGTTCTAGTGAATTTATGCTCCCCATAAAAGAGTTAAACTTACGATACCATTGCCTCAAAGCTTGTTTGAGACCATACAAGCTTTTCTTCAATTTACAAACCAGATTCTTCTTGCCTTGCACCTCAAAACCCTCTGGTTGCTTCATATAGATCTCTTCCTCAAGATCACCATGGAGAAAAGCTGTCTTAACATCCAACTGTTCAATTTCTAAATTCAAGCTAGCTGCCAAAGCCAAAATAGCTCGAATAGATGGCATTTTTACTACTGGTGAAAAAATATCATCATAATCAATGCCTTTTTGTTGTCCAAAGCCCTTCACCACTAATCTAGCTTTGAACCTTGGATTGGGATTGTTCACTTCAGACTTTACTCTGAAAACCTACTTGTTGTTAAGAGCCTTTTTGTCCTTTGGAAGCTCTACCAGCTCATAAGTCCCATTCTCTTGCAAAGAATTCATTTCTTCTTGCATTGCCATCAACCATTCCTTCTTGTTTTCACTCTCCATAGCTTCATAATAAGTTTCTGGCTCTCCCCCATTAGTCAAGAGCACATACTCATCAGTGGAGTACTTCCGAGATGGTTGATGAAGTCTAGTGGACCTCCTAACTTGAGGTTGCTGTGGTGGTTGCACTTGCTCTTCTGGGTGTGTTTCTTCTTCAACAAAATGTTCAACAACAGGCTCTTGAACTTGCTGCTCATCTACTTCATTGTGATCATCATTCATAACACTCGGTTTGGGTGTTGAAGGAGTGCAATAATCACTGTTCGGTATTTCTTGAGTGTGCTCGCTGTCATCTTGCTTCTTCGAGTCTTCAACCGTCTCATTCTCAATAAACACCACATCTCTAGTTCTCATTAATTTTCTGTTTTTCAAGTCCCATAATCTGTAGCCATACTCCTCATCACCATATCCCAAAAACACACATTGTTTTGTCTTTGCATCAAGCTTTGCTCTCTCCTCTTTTGGAACATGCACATATGCCCTGCAGCCAAATACCCTCAAGTGCTTGTAGGATACTTCTTTGCCTAATCAAATCTTCTCCGAAACATCACCATTTAGAACAACAAAAGGGGATCGATTTATCAAGTACACTGCAGTCTTCAAAGCCTCACCCCAAAAGGACTTTGGCAATTTAGCATGAGAGAGCATACAGACAATTCTATCACATATTTTTCTGTTCATCCTTTCAGCAACTCCATTATGTTATGGAGTTCTAGGAGTGGTCTTCTTGAGCTTAATTCCTTGTTCTCTACAATAGCGCTCAAATTGTCCACTATATTCACCACCATTATCAGACCTGATGCACTTTAATTTTCTCCCAGTTTCTCTTTCTGTCATTACTTGAAATTCTTTAAATTTTTCCAGCACCTGATCTTTACTAGACAAGGTATAAGCCCACAATTTTCTAGAAAAATCATCCACAAAAGTCACAAAATATGTAGCACCACCTAGACTTTTATCTTTCATGAAGCAAACATCAGTATGAACCAAATCAAGTGCATATTTTCTTCTGGACAGGGGTAAAGTGTGAAAAGAAACTCTCTGATGCTTGCCAGCTAAACAATCAGCACAGGTTTTAGAAAGATTACCTGTAAAGTCGGGTAGGAGTTCCTTTTTGCTAAGGATTTGAAGTCCCTTCTCACTCAAGTGCCCAAGTCTCTTGTGCCATAACTCAATAGCATCAGCTTCTGTAACATTGATCTGTCCTTGACACTGTTTTGCTTGAGTTTCATAGAGTAAAAATCTCTTCTTGCCTCTTGCCATAACCATAGTGCCATTTGTGAGTTTCCAAGTCCCATTACCGAAATAATTAATGTAGCCATCATCATCTAGCATACCCGTAGACATCAAATTGAGACGTATTTCAGGAACATGTCTCACATTTTTCAAGTGCAGCTTGGACCCGATGTTTGTTTCAAGCCAAACATCACCAACACCCACAATCTTGGCTTCGGATCTGTTTCCCATCTTCAGATAGCCAAAATCACCTTCTTTATATGAGCTAAACTAGTCTCTATTTGGTGTGACATGATAAGAAGCAACAGTATCAACAACCCATGTAGAATCATGATGAGCAACATCAATGCTATCATTCTCACATAGCAAGTATACCTCACCATCAGAAGTAATTGCAGCAGTGTTCTCCTTGGCCTCCTTCTCTTCATGAGTATCACCCCTTTTCCTAACATTTTTATCTCTATTGTGCCAACAATCCTTTTGATAATGACCTTGCTTTCCACAAGTGTAACAAGTCACTCTGCTCTTGGATTTTGATCTACCTCTGGACTTCCCCTTGCTGTACCTCTCTTGAGACTGTCTGTCATTGTCTCTTCAAATATACCTTTGCTTACTCCTCCCTCTATACTAAGTAACCAGTGCTTTAGACTCAGAACTCATAATTCCTTGCTCTTTTCTTCTGGATTCCTCACTCAATATGCTGTCCTTAACCAGCTGCAGAGTCATCTCCCCATCTCTTGTTGAGTTGCTTAAAGTTACCACCAAAGTCTCCCAACTATCCAGAAGAGAGCTCAATAAAATCAATGCTTGTACCTCATCATCAATGGCCAACTTCACTGTAACTAGTTCATTCAAAATTTCTTGAAAATTATTCAAGTGCTCAGACACATTCTTGCCCTCTTTGTACTTGAGATTGACTAGTTTTCTAATGAGGGAAGCTTTCTTCAAGGCATTCTTTCTTTCAAACAGCCCTTCAAGCTTAGTCCACAACTTATAGGACTCCTTCTCTTGAGCCACATGATGAATCACACTCATGTCAACCCATTTACGGATTACGGCACAAGCTTTGCGATCAATCTTTTTCCAATCAGCATCATTAATTTCTGCAGGTTTGATGCCTTTGTGCTCAATTGGGTCATAGAGGTCTTTACAAAACAACTTGTCCTCCATCAAAGTCTTCCACAAAAAGTAATTAGAGGTGTTCAACTTAATCATGGTTGAACCATCTTTTTCATCCGCCATGGTTGCTGGAATGGAAAAAAAAGATCACCCAAATCTCACTTGGGAATTTTCACAAACACCTTGTGTGCAAACCTGGCTCTGATACCAGTTGTTGTGGTTTTGATGGTCCAATGCCCAGAATCAAAGCAATCAAAGACACAATCAATCACCCAAGAACAGAATAAGCAAGCAAGTAAAATAAAAAGAGGACACCAGAATTTTTACGTGGAAAACCCAAATTGGAAAAACCACGAGGCACTTGCCCAGATGAAAAACAATCCACTACTGAAAATGGATTACAAATTTCGGATCACAATCCGAATCTCTCAAAGTTCTAGCATCAACAAGGGAGATTTTCTCTCAACCTCACTCTGTTTTTCTGCACTGCTTTCCCACTCTGTTTTTCACGCACTCACCAATCTGCACTCTTTTAAATTTTAAACAATAGTTAAAATAGGGAGCTTTTGGATACAAGAATAGTAAAACTATCCCATCAAGGACTAACATGTCAACATATCCAAAGTTGGAGGAGTCCACTTTGCTTTTCCCATTTTCTTCAAGAATTGGGAATGTCTGTGTCGGGATCCACTGTTCATCTTCAAAACAAAACCTTCCAAGTTTCTGCCATTCGCCATGCACTCAAGGTGCACCTCTATTGTTGAGCCACCCAACTTGGGAGGGCTAGCTCAACATATATATATATATTTGTGTCGCAAGGCTTGAGTAGACTCTGAAGAAGCAAGACTAGCTAGAAAGTTAAGGAGAAGATGAAAAATGGAGATGGTAATGAGTGAAAAGAGATGAAAGATAGATGAAAATCCTTGGACGAAGCTGGCGACATCCCATTAAACTTGACATCAACAAAGCCATTAATACAAAGGGTTACGCACGTATTATGCAACAACAAGAATATCAAGAATGAACGATATTTCACACCAACTTTTGTTGCAGTTAGTCCCTTACACAATGACAAAAAAACTCCAAAGAAGTGAGGAGTTCAAGCTACAATTGGCGGGAAAACGAAAGATTTCTACTAAAACGTCAAGAAGGAGATAAATAGATTGAGGAATTGTTATAACCTCAAGGAGATAGAGAAATGGAATGATAAATCCGGAAACCGATAAATCCCAATAAACTGGCTAAATCCAGAAACCGCATCGTCCGCATCATGGGAAGATACTTTCCTGGTGATTACTGATAATTTCATTCATTATAATATCTTATCCAATCTATTTTTAAGCAACTGTTTTCCATCTTTGTGGGTTTTCTGCTCGATTGATCTTGTTACTTGAATTCTATGTCCAAATTTCTCTTTACTTCTAGTCTTGTTTTCTCGAACTATGGCTATCTTTTATGTTTCATGTCTTATTAGTTCAACTGAAGATAAGAATTTGTTGGGTACTCAAATTTTGGGGCTTTTCATTCATTAGCTGAATTTTAGTTCTTAGAAGTTTGAAGAATGGACTGATGGTGTTTTTTTCATTTTGTTTGATACAGAGTAATTCCAGTAGCGAGGTGCTTTTTGCTTGTACATACAAAAAGAAAAGTAAAAACTAAGATGTCCTAATATTAAAATAGTAAAACTCATTACATAATCACTCAACATCATTATGAAATTTTGTGTATTGATTTATTTAGGATATTTTACTCTTTTTTTATTATTTATATAAACAATAACTGGTATAATAATCTGGTATAAATCCCTTAGAATTAGGAGCATATTTGTATACAGTTATAATTCTCCTAGACTCTAGGCAGAAGGTTATCTAAGTTATGATTTTGATATGGCTCTTTTGTTTATATATGTAAAGTGACATACATTATGAATGAATAACATACATTCAACAATTTTCATGGTATCAGAGCAGAAATTCTTCCTATGGCTTCATTGTTTTCTTTTGTCTCACTATGTCTACCGAATCCACAACCTCCCCTGCACTAGCTAATAATGAATTAGATCCCTCATCACCTTTTTATTTACACCATTCAGATAGTCTTGGAACTATTCTTGTTTCTCAGGTTTTGCAAGGAGATAATTATCCCATATGGAGTAAGGCCATAACCATGGCTTTTGAAGCCAAAAATAAGCTTGGTTTTATAGATGGTCGTATTTCACAACCAACACCAACTTCTCCAAATCATGCAATCTGGAGTCGATGCAACAGTATGGTTCTATCCTGGCTTCTTAATGCTGTTTCAAAGGAAATTGCAAACAATGTTGTGTTTATGAAAAATGCTCGTGCCATGTGGATAAATCTACAGGACTGTTTCTCCCATCGCAATGCTCCTTGGATTTTTGAGATTCAGAGATCAATTGTGAATCATCTACAATGGAATGATTCTATGACAACAAATCATACAAGTTTGAAAGCACTATGGGATGAACTTGCCATTTATAAATCATATCCTACTTGCTCTTGTGGAGTAGCTGCTGAAATCACCACGCTAGAAGAGCAAGATCATCTAATGCAACTTTTAATGGGGGTCAATGATTCCTTTGCCAATTTGAGTTAGATTTTGCTAATGACACCATTACCAACAATCACAAAAGCATTGTCTCTAGTGCTGCAACATGAACAACAATGAAATATCCAATCTATTGCATCCCTTCCATACCTTAAGCAATCAGCAATGGCAGTTCCACATAATCATGGATCACAATCTACCTATTGTTTTAATCAACAGAGTCGAAATAAATCTCGTTGACCATTCTATCATTGTGACTATTGTGGATTAGATGGACATTCTAAGTCACGGTGTCGCAAAAAGCCTGGACATCCTAATTATCAAGCAACATCAATAAAGTGTGATTTCAGAGATTCTGGTTCTCATTTTCAGCAAAACTCTACTAAACAACATCCAGCTTCTTCTAGATCACAATTAGTGGTTGCTGCTATTGACCATGGTGAGAAAAGTTCTGATGTAAGCTCACCTTTCACTCAGGACCAGATACAGCAACTACTTTCTCTTATTCAACCTGGTGTCTTTACCTCCTCCAATCCACTTGTTAATATGGTAGGTATCAATACTAATTTTAAATATTGCAGGATCTTTCACAACCTTAAAAAACTTGCAACCTTATTTTGGTCTTTATGTGAAACTTCCCAATGGCAATTTTGTCCTTGTTACACATTTTGGTTCACTCTATTTTAATTCTACTTTTCATTTAGATAATGTTCTTTATGTTCCCTCATTCCAATTCAACTTATTATCTATTCACCAAATCACTAAGGCACTTCATTGTTCTGTGATTTTTCTTCCTAACTTGTGCATTTTCTAGGACCTGTTGACGAAGAAAGTGATTGGTTTGGTGAAGGAGCATGATGGTCTCTACTACTTTGCACCTTCCACAGCCCCATTTATCTCCCTTACTACTATTTCCAAACCTGTGGCAAACCTTTGGCATTTTCGACTAGGTCACCCAAGTGAGGGTGTTTATCCTAGTTTTACTCATCTTGACAATACAGTTTCTTTTCATAAAAACTCTTGTATTATTTGCCCTTTGGCAAAACAAACAAGGTTGTCTTTTCCCTTAAGTTCAATAACATGTACTCAGTGTTTTGATTTAATTCACATGGACATTTGGGGTCCTTATTCTACTCTTTCTCTTACTAGAGCTCAATATTTTCTTACTATGGTGGATGATTTTTCTCAAAATACTTGGGTATTTTTAATGCAACATAAATCCCAAGCATGTCTTCTTATTCAAAATTTCTTATATATGGTCCAAACACAATTTCAAACCACCATCCGAAGGGTTCGTAGTGATAATGGTTTAGAATTTTTTAGCCAGCAAATAACTACTTTTTTTCATTCAAAAGGGGTTATCCATGAACATAGTTGTGTGGCCACACCCCAACAAAATGGGGTTGTTGAATGCAAACATCGTCATTTGTTAAACATGGCTCGTGATATTCATTTTTACTCCAATCTTCCTCTCAAATTCTGGGGTGAATGTGTTTTGACCACCGCTTATCTCATAAATAGAACACCTTCTACACTCCTTCATGGTAAAACTCCATTTGAGTTGCTTTTTCAAAAGAAACCCACATATTCCCATTTACGAGTGTTTGGTTGTTTATGTTTTGGAAGAAATATTTATATCACACATAAATTTGATTCTCAAGCTCTTCCTAACATCTTTGTTGGTTATCTTTTTGGACAAAAAGGATACACGATTTTTGACATTAAATCCCAAAAATTGCATGTGAGTTATGATGTTAAGTTTCATGAAGACATTTTTCCTTTTCAATTTGTTTCTTCTGAGGCCAACTCTTTGCCACTCCTATTGCCAAGTCCAGATTACATACCAACTGATACTACTATTTTTCCATCCTCTTCGAATAACTCAACTCCAGCTCCTGTCACAAAAGATTCTTCTCCAATAGTACCTCTCACTAAAACCTCTACTGCATTACCTTCTCTTGAATCACCAGCTTCACCACATGTCTCCAAACCACCACCTATTGTCCTCCTAGAACTACAGCATTCTTCGCGTCATAAACAAGTTCCCACAAGGTATAAAGACTATCACTGCTTTAACGTGCATGATCAATCAACTTTTTCCTCCTCAGGTACTCCTTATCCTATTTCTAATTATCTTTCCTATGCTTGATTTTCGCCTACTCATTGTTCCTTCCTTAATACCATTGCTTGTGACATTGAACCCTCTTCCTTTACTTAAGATATTCAATGTCCTGAGTGGAGAACAGCTATGCAAACAGAATTTCAAGCCTTAGAAGACACACAAACATGGTCATTGGTTCCTTTACCACCTGACAAGAAGCCAATTGGTTGCAAATGGGTCTATAAGATCAAACAAAAATTTGATGGTAGCATAGAGAGATTCAAAGCCTAGCTTGTAGCCAAGGGATACACTCAGGTAGAAGGAATTGATTGTCATGATACTTTTGCCCCTATTGCCAGGATTGTCACTATTCGTGTTCTTTTGGCCATTGCTGCTATTAAACAGTGGCCTTTGCATCAAATGGATGTTCAAAATGCTTTCTTACATGGTGATTTACCAGAGGAGGTACACATGAGACTTTTGCAAGGTCATTCTCGAAAGGGGGAGCACAATCTTGTTTATAAGCTTAATTGATATCTTTATGGTTTGAAACAAGCCTTTCATAACTGGTTTTCCAAGTTTTCTAGTGCCTTGCTTGCCATTGGTTTTCAACAATCTCCAACGGATTACTCTTTATTTCAACTAGACTGAGGCTCCTCCATCGTCTTCATTTTATTATATGTTGATGACATAATTCTTACAAGCAACAATCCTAATCTCATTACTCGTGTGAAGGAATTTTTATCCAATCAATTCAAGATTAAGGATTTGGGTTCACTTAAGTATTTTTTGGGTATTGAAGTAGTTCGCTCCCACTGAGGCATTTATCTATCTCAACGCAAATATACTCTGGATCTTCTTGATGATTCTGGTCTTCTTAGCTCTAAAACTGTTGACACGCCAATGGAAACAAATCTAAAGCTTGCTGCGACGGATGGTCCGTTGTTGGATAATCCTTCCCAGTATCGTCGTTTGGTGGGTCGTCTCATTTACCTCACTATTACTAGGCCAAATATATGTTTTATGGTAAACAGTCTTAGTCAGTTTCTGCACTCACCAAGAAAACCTCATTTGGATGTAGCACTCCGCCTTCTTCAGTATTTAAAGAAAAATCCAAGCCAAGGAATTCTTCTTTCTTCTGCTAGTTCCTTAGCTTTACGTGCCTATTCGGACTAGGATTGGCCTAGTTGTGTGTCTACTCAATGATCCACTACTGGCTACTTAATTTTTCTGGGTGCTAGTCCAATTTCATGGAAGAGTAAGAAACAGAATACTATTGCACTTTATTCTACTAAAGCCGCGTATAGGGCCATGGCTTTTACCACTAAAGAGGTCATTTGGCTTTGCAATTTATTACACAGTTTTGGTTTTTGCCAATCTCACTCCACACCTCTTTACTGTGATAATCAGGCAACTCGGCACATTGTTGCCAATCCTATCTTTCATGAAAGGACAAAACATTTGCAAATTGATTGTCATTTGGTGCGTGAGAAATTTCAAGCTGGTATTGTCTGCCCATTACCCATCTCTTCCTCTAATCAACCAGCTGACATTTTCACAAAGGCATTGGGCAAGGATAGTTTTTATTTGCTGTGGGACAAGCTGGGCATTCATGACCTTCATGCACCAGCTTGAGGGGAGTATAAATAGTAACTGGTATAATAATCTAGTATAAATCCCTTAGAATTAGGAGCATATTTGTATACAGTTATAATTCTCTTAGACTCTAGGTACAAGGTTAGCTAAGTTATGATTTTGATATGGTTCTTTTGTATATGTATATGTAAAGTGACAAACATTATGAATGAATAACATACATTCAGCAATTTTCAATTTCTGGCATTTAGTTGCCCATAAGTGGTAATTTTCCTCAATCCCATTCTACTTATGGGGATTTTGGGGGATTTTGGTTTCAAATCTTATTAACTAGTTTCACCTTTCAAAATATACGGCTCCGGTTGTGAGTGGTGACCGGCTGAGGAAATATATATTTCAGAAACTATGCACTGAGTTGCCAGAAGTGCCATTCTACATCGTTTATATGCATAGTACAGTGCAAAAGGAGGATAACTCCCCTGCTCTTACTATCTTGAGGTGGATTTATGAAGAACTTCCCTCGAAAATCAAGGATAGGTTGCAAGCAATCAAGACTTATCTTCGCTACTCTTGGCTTATATTTCTTAAGTGGTAGGTGAATTTGAATTTCACTTCCACATAACATATAGTAACCTCCTATTTAACAATAAAGCTTATTCAGGAATATGGTCCAAATATTTTAAAGTTTTATGTACAAAACTTTTGCAGTCAAATAAAATATATGATCAATGAATGCTCAACTCTTCACTTGATCCTGGGATGTAGTTTCAGACACTTATCTGTCAGTTTAAGGAAAGAATCTGTAAAAAGTTATGGTACATGTTTTATATACTTGATCCCTAGTCCATCTAATATAGATGAGAACTACTGGCTGAAAAATAATTATTTATGCAATTTAGTTTTGGAGATTGAACCTTGGATTAACTCAAAATAAGGTTATAGTTTGAGGCAATAAGTGAATAGTCGCCCTTAGGTAGTTGTCTGAATGTGTGCCTAGCCTAGTGGATTATTGGAGTAAGTGGTCATCTGAGTTCTTTCTTACATTGAAACTCTGCCTATCAATCATCCTGCATCTGCAAAGTTCAAATTGAGCCTTTTTTTAGCAAAAGGGGACATATGCAAGCATTGGTCCTACAAATGACATAATGAACAAGCATCCTAACTGAGATGCTTGCCGGTTGAACAGAACTGTCTTGCTGGAAATCTCAAAACCTTGGAAGGCTCGATTTGAAATATCCTTATTGCTTAGAATATTTTAAAGGATTCACATTTTTGTCTAATTGAAATGCATTATTTTTTATCCATAAGACGTATCAAAATTCTTGTTGTCAATCTATATATAGAGTCTTTGCTTTTAGTTAATGAAACATCCCATCCTTATTTGATTATATTTTAAACAAAAGCCCTTAGTTAGTGAGGACTTAGTTGAATAATTTAAAAGTTACGGGTTTGTATGGTTAAGTAGAATCAAATCTTAGAGTCCAAATGGTTCACCTCCAAACCTTAAGGAACTTAAGTTAATTGGTCATCAAACCCCAAATTTCCCCTCCCCCAATCTCCCAAATTGTAAACTATTAAAGATATATATATATATATATATAATTCACCATCAAAACTAGCCCCCGATTTTGAAAGGGCTCATAACCCATTTTTAGACAGTTTGTATTACTCTCTCACCCCTTTCCTCCTCTTCAGCCGAGTAAAGTAAATGGTATTGGAATTCCCTGCTGAATTAACAAAGAAGGAAGAGAGGGTGGACAGAGAGCTATGCTAGATTTGTTAAAAATCAAGAATTTCCGAGAAGAAGAAGATGGAATGAAAATCCAAATCTCTTTAAACTGAAAATAAAGTAGCCTTTAAATAGGCTTTACAAGATAACTTTATCTCAAAAGATAACTAACTAATCTTATCTAATCTAATTTAAATTATAACAACCTAAAACAAATAAATAACTTAAACTTCTTAAATTATAGAGATGATGGCTAAATAATAGGACCTAATTTCCAACAAACCCTCCCTTAAACTAAAAGTCTTCAGACTTCAGTTTAAAGAAATTTGGATAACACCATGTCTGCAATATGGAATCTGCAAACCCTCCCTCAAACTGCATTTTGCATGCTGCAAACACCAAGTAACTCTCTTAGTCTTGAAAAGTTACTACTTTGAAGGGTTTTGTGAATATATCAGCCAAACTCTTAATAATCAATGCCAAACTCTTGCTTGTAACCCTTTGCCACCAAGCGAGCTTTGAATTTCTCAACCTCCCCATTTTCTTTGAGCTTTGTCTTGTAGATCCACTTAACACCAATTGTCTTGTGCCCTTCTGGAAGATCTGTCAACTCCCAAGTTTGATTCCTTTAAATAGAACCAATTTCTTCTGCCATGGCTTTTTGCCACTTTTCTTCTTTAACAGCTTCTTCATCAGTAAGCTTGATGACAAAGGGGAAAAGTGTATTTTCCTTGGTGTTAGTGATCAGTCCAAAGCTTACAGATTATACAATCCTTTAACCAAAAAGGTCATCATTAGTCGTGATGTAGTGTTTGATGAAGCAAGCACTTGATCTTGGACAGAAAAATCTAGGTGATAGATTCTTGTAGATTTCAAAAATGGAGAAGATCTAACTCTGCAGAACTCAGAAGGTTAGACACAGTAGACTGGAGGTTTAACTTCAACAGATCTCGAAGTTTCAAGATAGATAGCTGAAGAAAGTTTGCCTGTAGAAGTAGAGCTCAGTACTGGAGGAAGTCTGCCAACAACACTAGAATTGGAATTTGGAACTAGTTCATGACCTCAATGCAAAAAGAGAATACCAGCATGGTTGGAGGATTATGAGATAACAGATCTACCTCAAGATGATGTTCTAGTTACTCATTTTGCTTTATTGTTAGATTGTGATCCATTGACATATGAAGAAGCTATTAAAGAAGAAAAATGGCAAAAAGCCATGGCAAAAGAAGTTGGTTCTATTGAAAGGAATCAGACTTGGGAGTTACAGATCTTCCAGAAAGGCATAAGACAATTGGTGTTAAGTGGATCTACAAGACAAAGCTCAAAGAAAATGGGGAGATTGACAAATTTAAAGCTCGCTTGGTGGCAAAGGGTTACAAGAAGAGTTTGGCATCGATTAAATTAAGAACTTGGCAAACTCTATCTTTAATTAGGATTTCATATCCTTTCTCCTGAAGCTATCCCAGACTAAGCAGATTCGACTTCAAATCTGGTACATATAGAACATTAGCAATAGTCTGAATTGAATTGTCTTTGGCATGAATGATTACCTTTCCCCTTCCCTTAACTGCAATAGTGGAATTATCACCAAATTTCACCTTGTCTTGAAAAGACTCATCCAGATTTGAAAATGCAGATTTGTCTCCACATATGTGATTGCTACAACCAGTATCCAGATACCACACATTCTTCTTGCTGACTTCTTTAGGATGACAGACCATGAATAAAAAGGCATCATCATTCTTCTCATTGTGTTCTGCAAAATTAGAACTTTCTCCTCTATTCAAATTAGCACGGCACTTGGAACGATAATGGCCATACTTATGACATTTGAAGCATTCAATATTTTCCTTTCTTGCAGATTTGGATCTGTTATCTACAGCTTGATAATTTCTGTTTTGCCACCTCTTCTGATTTCTAGTGGCTAAACTTTCCTCCAGTCTATCTGATCTCGGTCTATCTGATCTCGGTCTGTCAAATCTTGATCTGCCTCTCCAGCTTTCTTTTCCTTGACCTACAGCCCCTAAATTAATTGTCGTCTACAAGGCTTGGGTCTGCGAAATCTGCACTGCTTGCTCTTGCTTGTCTTGGCAATTTATCTTCCGCTTATGAATTAACAATGAGTTCTGGGACTCATTGAGGGAAAGAGCCTCAATATCATTTGACTCCTCAATTGAGTCATTCCCTTGGTACTTCTTCTTCATGGAATCCCAAATAGTCTTGGAAGTAGACTTGTTAAGAATTGTTTCCAAGATAGCCCAATCAATGGCTTGGAACCAATAGTTCTTAACTTTGAGATCCTTCGACTTTTCCTTCTCAATTTCTGCCCTCTGTGTAGAATCTATAGCTGCCACTGGTTCTGGAACTCCAGCTTCAACAACTGTCCAATACTCTTTGGATCAGAGAAAATTCCCCATCAACATACTCCAATGGTCGTAGTGATGACCATCAAAATGAGGGATTGAGGGCTAGACATAATTTTCAGAAGCCATGGAATTTGCTGAGAATTGGCTCTGATACCAAATGTTAAAAATCAAGAATTCCCGAGAAGAAAAAGATGGAATGAAAATCCAAATCTCTTTAAACTGAAAATAAACTAGCCTTTAAATAGGCTTTACAAGATAACTTTCTCTGAAAAGATAACTAACCAATCTTATCTAATCTAATTTAAATTATAACAACCTAAAACAAATAAGTAACTTAAACTTCCTAAATTATAGAGATAATGGCTAAATAACAGGATCTAATTTCCAACAATTTTTTTTTTGGAAATAAAACTCACGTTGAATGAAAATAATCTAGCCTTTAAATCTGAAAGTCTTCAGACTTCAATTTAAAGAAATCTGGATAACACCATGTCTACAATCTGGAATCTGCATACCCTCCCTCAAACTGAATTTTGCATGCTACAAACACCAAGAACTCTTAGTCTTGAAAAAGTTGCTACTTTGAGGGGTTTTGTGAATATATCAACCAAACTCTTGCTTGTAACCCTTTGCCACCAAGTGAGCTTTGAATTTGTCAACCTCCCCATTCATTTTGAGCTTTGTCTTGTAAATCCACTTAACACCAGTTGTCTTGTGCTCTTCTGGAAGATATGTCAACTCCCAAGTTTGGTTCCTTTCAATAGAACCAATTTCTTCTGCCATGGCTTTTTGCCACTTTTCTTCTTTAACAACTTCTTCATATGTCAATGGATCACAATCTACAAATAAAGCAAAATGAGTAACTGAAACATCATCTTGAGGTAGATCTATTACCTCATAATCTTCCAACCATGTTGGTCTTTTCTTTTTGCGTTAAGGTCTGGAACTAGTTCCAGATTCCAATTCTGGAGTTGTCGACAAACTTTCTCTAGTACTGAGCTCTACCTCTACTTCTTCAGCTGTCTACCTTGAAACTTCGAGATCTGCTGAAGTTAAACCTCCAGTTTGCTGTGTTTGACCTTCTAAGTTCTACACAGTCAGATTTTCTCCATTTTCAAAATCTGTAAGAATCTGTGGCCTAGATTTTTCTGTCCAAGACCAAGTGCTTGCTTCATCAAACACTACATCACGGCTAATGATGACCTTCTTGGTTAAAGGATTGTATAATCTGTAAGCTTTGAACTGATCACTAACACCAAGGAAATAACACTTTTCCCCTTTATCATCAAGCTTACTCCTTTTCTGATCTGGCACATGTGCATATGCTATGCACCCAAAATTTCTGAAGTAATCAACAGTAGGTCTGCGTCCACTCTAAGCCTCTTTTGGCGTTATATCTGGAAGTGGAGATGTGGGACTTTTCAAGATATGAACACTCCAATTAACAACTTCTGGCCAAAACTCCTTAGGCAAGTTGCTCTTTGACATCAAACTTTGCACCATATTCATGATTGTGCGATTCCTCATCTCACATACACCATTCTGTTGGGGTGTATAAGCTATTGTAAGTTGTCTTTTAATGCCATTGGACTCACGAAAATCTACAAATTCCTTTGAGTTAAACTCACCACCATGATCAATATGCAGAACCTTATAGATATACCAACCTCATTCTCAGCCAAAACTTTGAAATTTTTAAAGGCTGCTAAGGCTTCTGACTTGGTCTGCAAAAAATAAACCCATGTTTTGCGATTGTAATCATTAACAAAGGTAATGAAGTATTGTTTATCTCTATTGGATGTTGGATTTATAGGTCCACACAGATCAGAATGAACTAGATCTAGCACCTACTTTACTCTCCAAGATCTGTCTTTAGGAAAACTGTCACGGTGCTATTTACTAACCACGCAGATTTCACAAATTTCTGAAGGAGAATCAAAATGAGGAAGACCATTTACCATCTTCTTCTGCTGCAAAGCTTTCAACCCACCAAAATAAAGATGTCCATATTGGCAATGCCATAACCAAGCTATGTCCTTCAATCTGGTAAATAAACATGACATATTTGTGGTTAGCAAATATAATGGAAACAACCTATTTCCCATCATCTTGATCTTTGCAATCAAGCCAAGCTTTGAATCATGAACTTGGAAAACTCCATCTTTAATCAGGATTTCATATCCTTTCTCTTGAAACTGTCCCAGACTAAGCAGATTCGACTTCAAATCTGGTACATACAGAACATTAGCAATAGTTTGAAATGAATTGTCTTGTCTTTAGCACAAATGGTTACCCTTCCCCTTCCCTTGACTATAATAGTGGAATTATCACCAAATTTCACCTTGTCTTAAAAAGACTCATTTAGATCTAAAAAAGCAGATTTGTCTCCACACATGTGGTTGCTACAGCTAGTATCCAGATACCATACATTCTTCTTGATGACTTCTTTAGGATGATAGACCATGAATAAAGAGGCATCCTCATTCTTCTCATTGTGTTCTGCAAAATTAGAACTTTCTCCTCTATTCAGATTAGCACGGCACTCAGAACGATAATGACCATACTTATGACATCTGAAGTATTCAATATTTGCCTTTCCTACAAATTTGCAGCTTGATAATTTCAGTTCTACCACCTTTTTTGATTTTCAGTGGCTTTTCCTCCAGTCTATTCGATCTCAGTCTGCCAGATCTTGATCTGCCTTTCCAGTTTTCTTTTCCTTGACCTACAGCCCTTGAATTAATTGTGGTCTACAAGGCTTGTGTTTGCGAAATCTACATTACTTGCTTTTGGTGATTTATCTTCTGCTCATGAATTAACAACGAGTTCTGCAACTCATCAAGGGAAAGAGCCTCAATATCATTTGACTCCTTAATTGAACAAACAACATAATTGAATTTTGTTGTCATAGACCGAAGGATTCTCTCAACTATGGCAACATCCTTTAGATTTTCACCATGGATCCTCATCTTATTTGCAATTGCCATCATCCTTGAAAAATAGTCATCTATAGATTCACCAATCTGCATCCGCAGACTTTCAAATTATGCCTGCAAAGCCTAGTGCTACTACCGCTTCGCTCTTTCATTCCCCTGGTGCTTCTTCTTCATGGAATCCCAAATAGTCTTGGAAGTAGACTTGTTAAGAATTGTTTCCAAGATAGCCCAATCAATGGCTTGGAACAAATAGTTCTTAGCCTTGAGATCCTTCAACTTTTCCTTCTCAATTTCTGCCCTCTGTTCATTATCTGCATCTACCGTTGGTTCTAGAACTCCAGCTTCAACAATTGTCCAATACTCTTTGGATCAGAGAAAATTCTCCATCAACATACTCCAATGGTCATAGTGATGACCATCAAAACAAGGGATAGAGGGTTGGACATAATTTTTGAATGCCATGGAATATGCCGAGAATAGGCTCTGATACCATGTGAAATTATGCATGTGGGCTCAACACAAGACTTGCATCCAACTTAAAACCAATTGGCTACAAGTGGAGTGGCCTTCCTTGTATTTAACCCACAAGCTTCTTACTTTTATATTTGATGTGGGATTTTCCCACTTAACATGTGAAAATTGTGCATGTGGGCTCAATACAAGGTTTGCATCCAACCTAAAACCAATTGGCAATAGGTGGAGTGGCTTTCCTTGTATTTAACCCATAAGCTTCTTATTTTTATACTCGATGTGAGATTTTCCTGCTTAACATGCTCCCTCACGTGCAAACCCGCTATGAATGTCGGGTCCTATCATGTAGCTTAACATGCCCCCTTAAATGTAGGCCCGGTACCTTCAACTTTGAGTCTTGTCAAGTGGGCTAACAATGGGCTTCCCAAGACGAAATCTGGGCTCTAATACCATGTGAAAATTGTGCATGTGGGCTCCATACAAGATTTGCATCCAACCTAAAACCAATTGGCAATAGGTGGAGTGGTCCTCTTTGTATTTAACCCACAAGCTTCTTATTTTTATACTCGATGTGGGATTTTCCCACTTAACACACCCCCTCACGTGCAAACCCGCTATGAATGTCAAGTCCTGTCACATGAGTTAACACCCCCCTTAAATGCAGGCCTGCTACCTTCAACTTTGGGTCTTGTCAGGTGGGCTAACAAGATGAGCAAGCACTAGAGAAGAAAAACAAGAGAAATGGTGCTACATGTTCAAATTTTTGAGCTTATGGGTTAAACAAGAGAAAGGAGAAGATGACAGAGAAGCTGCTGTTGTATAAGAGTGGGAGAACTCAAAGAAATCCCAAGGGATTCTACCAAGAATGGTGTTGGGCTTTGTGAGGTAAGTATAGGTTATGGCTTCTATAACTATAATTGATAGTTAGGATTGTAAATCAATTGATTTAGAGTGAATTGGACTTAAGATAAGTTGAATATAATGATTCAACCATTGAGCACAGCATCCAAAAGAAAAATTCATTACATGCATGAGGAAGCATTGAACCAGTAATAGGTATCTGTTTGTTAAAGCATGATTAAGACTTACTGTCTTGTGAAATTTGCTCTGTATTTGAAATCTGGAAGTGAGTAATCAGATTACTGTGAAATAATGATATTGATTTTTGAGTTCTATGTGACTCTAAATATGTAAGCATATTTAATTTTGTTTGGGTTCAAAACTAACCCGTGAACCTAATGACATAGGACATGCTGAGATATGCCTAATATTTGCAAATTGTAATAAAATGCCTAAGTTCAAACTAACATGAGTCATTTAGGACTAAATTGAATATGAAGTACATGCGCTTACATGTAAAAGATTGCATCAATATGCATATGAATCTATGGTATGATATGTAAGCTGGGTAAAATACTTCTAAAGTTACTTGCAGTAAAGAATGATGATGCTCCTAAAGTTACTTGGAGTAAAAGAATGACGCTCCTAATGTATTTGGAGTCAAGAAAAAAGATATCTAAAATGATATCTCAGCTACTAAGCTAGGTAAGAACTCCTAAATTTACCTGGAGTAAAAGAATGATGCTCCTAACGTATTTGGAGTAAAGAAAGAAGATATCTAGATCCACTGTGCAATAGGAAGAGCCATTGGTTGGACCATTGGTATGGTGGGATGTACACCCACAAGGAAAAATCCATAGATAAAATCTTGCATTCATTTGCATGTTGAACAAGCATAAGCCTGCCTTGATATTATCTTATATTCAATGGAAGTATTTATGTCATGTTTATTTATGGCACTGATGAAACTGTTCAGTGTTGATAAGCAGTGTTTGATGGAACTGACTCTATGCTTCCTGAGGTAAAGGAACATATTTTTCTGGTTGCTCTAGAATGAAGACCAAGTAAGCATGTGCTTGGATTGAACTTACCTGTTCTAAATTAGATAGTTTTAATTTAGAGAATATGGATTATTTTTGAGATGATGATTTGTCTATGTCTAAATCTTGTATCTTGACATAAGTTTTATATGGAAGAACAATGTAAGTTTATTGGTGGAACTTACTAAGTTAAATTACAGTCTCAGTTATGGTTCTTAAGTTATAACCTATGCTTATTGGACTTCATAGCTCATGGTGTATTGTTCACCCTGTTTCAGGTTAGCTAGTGAAGAGATCAACAATTTTTAGGAGACTAAGAGTTTTCTAAGGTTGCTGGTAGTGAACAAGCTCTTCAGGCTTGTTGAGGTAACTTGCATCTGTCCAAAGCTGAATCCTGGCTTGATGTTTTATAAAAGAACTTTGCATTATTATAATATGTTTTGTTTACCAAATGGGGCATCAAGTAAGCTTAAGAGCTGATTCTTAATATAGTTATTATGACAGAGTTTGCTGTATAAATAAGTGTATATTCGGATTGCCCAGGGACTTGTATAAATATTCAAATTATGTGTTTTTAAATTGGAACCTAAGCCCCTTAGTTTGCTACAGAAGTGGTCATCTGTCCTTTAAAACTTTAGTTACCTGATTATTAAAGCTTGGCCTTAAACTGTTTTTGTATTTAAAGATAGCCGTATTCAGAAGTTTAACGTTTATTTATTATGAACTGATTTTCAAAAGCTTCCTAAAGGAGAACTAAAAGTATCTTTTCTTTAAGAAGTATGTCTGCAACAATTTAGAATGGAGTTAATCTAAGAGTTACAGCTCAAACTTGACCCTTTTGGCTAAGGTTTCAGGTCTGGGATGTAACAGTTAAGAACTGTTGATACCCACACACCCCACCTTGCAATGCAAACCCACGCATACCATTTTCCTTCCTCAGTACCTCCGCCACAGTCTCTTCCACCCTCTCTCCGTGGATGTTTAAAGCCTCAAGTGGTTATTGTCATGCTCTCCAAGGTAATAAACTGTGCACTTCAAGGCATTCAGGAAAAGAACATAATGTTCTTATTACCAATCATGTGGGGATTATTAACACATATTTGAGATTGCAAACCCTTCTGAATTGAAAATATAAAATTGGTTACTACTTTTGATTTTTGTTGTTCATAAGAATTGTTCTTGGTGTGACTTTTGCTTTTGCTGTAACTTTAACTTTTGTTTTTTTAGCTTATATTGGAAGATCAGGTATGTAAGCCGCCTACAGTACCTCTGGGAGGACATAAAGAAGGAGAGGTTAAGATCCCTGAATTTGTGCAGAATCACGATGATATTCTTGAGCACAGACCACTGACAGATTATGGCATTGAACTATACCCTCTCCACCTAACAGACGTGCCCTCCGTAGCTTACTCATTTGGGAGGAATGAAGAGAGATGGACCTCAAGGGAATTCCTTTCATAGTCACCCCTGAACCCTTCCGAACCCAAAATAAGGTTGCTTTGTATCTTGGCTAGGTTAGGTTTTTATGTAAAAATCGAAGCATTGTAAAGAAAAGTTACATGATTTTGTTGTGTGCTCCCTCTCATCTGATTTGGATGTAATAGTTTAACCTTACACAATTGCATCGAAAACTCATTTAGAATGCATTCGGTTCATGGAAAATAACTTCTTGTTGGCTAATGATGGAAAAATTAATCTTCAAATTTTCCACAAATCAGAAATCAAATTATAGAGAGCATGAAACACACAAAATGGATATACATGGTTCATCTTCATCTCTTACACTTTACAAGCCAACAATACACTAGAGACGATGCCATGATGATCATAGCCAGAGGCCCAAAGTATTGAAGAAACAAAGCCTAGTTCCAAAACCATTCTTCGGGGAAAGATCCTTGGATTTGGAATAACAGGAATGTTATTATTCTTTCCATATTGTTTCAATATTCAGTACTGTGGAAACCACACGACCATTTGCATTTATTCTTTTGGCAACCTAAAGGGAACACACCATCGTAATAGTAGTATCATACTAGGGATGGAAATGAACCTGGTGGATTGGAGACTGTTCGATGTCCTCATAAGTCTGCACAGCTGTCAAAGCAAGACCCAATAGGGCACCGACCAAGGCCAAGAAGCTCCAGGGGCTCCTGAAATAGGTGTGATAGAGTTGAGCCACGTACTTGGCAAATGCGGTGTTGCAATGTGCTTGGATACTTTGTTTCAAATTTGAGTGCAGCTTAGGATTCGGCACCAGGTATTTGTTGATCTCGTTGAATAGCAACGCTACAGCTTTGTCACTTCCTAGTCCGTTGTGCAGCACGCCAGCATCTCTGAGTTCCTTCACATCCTCCGCTTGATCAATCAAGGAGTCAAGGAAGGACACATAGGAGGTGATCTCGAATTTGTTATCAAAATCTGGACACATCTCGTATGCTATCAAGTTCATCAACTTGCGCCCAGTGTAGTCGTCCACTGTGATGGGAGGCAGCCTTAGGGTTGCCATACCGAATCTTTTTTCGAGAGAAATGTCACGAATGCTGCTCGTTTTGCTAACTTTAAGCCAAATCCCCTTTTCTTTCAGCTCCTTTACGTTTCGAAATGTGTGCCTGTAATGTCTGGTCCTACCGTGAGGCTTGCGGGTTCCTTTAGAACAAATCCCCTCATTACAAGTAGGGCTCAACTTCTTCAGGAGCTTAATTATGGTTCCGTCTGATTCCTTACCCGTTTCTAGTTTGGTCAGTCTTCTCCATAATAGTTCCAGAAGATGAGCAGGTTCTCGAGGCGTATCAATCGATATTGCTGTTGTTGTTGTTACTGTTGTTGCTGCTGCTGCTTTTTGCTGGTGCTGTGGTACTGAAAGTTTTTCCCGATGCATCATCTGCTCCTGCTCAACTGGACTCATGGCATTCTTATTGATGAAGGTGCTGATGGACGCATGCAATTCCTTAGCACGAGATTGGTTTTCAGCCAGGGTATCACAAGGAACTCCATCGCAACAGTCCATCAATATCTGAAGGAGTTGGTACGGTAATTGGTTCTCAAGCAAGAATAAATCCAGCTTCACATATGCAAGCACATCATCCTTAACTTCAAGTGCCTCCAGATTGTCATTCGCATCATGATCTATGAAAAACAACACCGCGCAGCCATCCACAAGGAACATCCAGGCCAAGTCCTCTTTAGGCCTTTGCCCTGTCTGCTTGTCGTCATAGCACTCCATCAAGACATCGATCTTATCCTTGACATTCCTGTAGAAGACTTCCTTCTCTATCCCACTATCCTTGATGAACCTTGCTGCCATTTGTAACTTGTTATCCTCACCTCTTTGGAGTTCAGGACGATCGTAATGGTGGAGGGGACCGAATGCAACAGAAATTGGTTTGAAGTACCGGTGGAAATAATCCTCTTTGTCTCGTAGTAAGTGCGTAACCCTTTTTATCAGTGGCTTCACTGGCTCCTTTGTCGCCTCAGTTGAAAGGCTGCCTGCATCCTTCGAGGATTTCAATGCATCCTCCCAGGATTTCAATGTATCCTCCAAGGATTTCAATCTGGCCACCTCCGGTTGGGTGAGTTGTTCCATGTTGGGCAAGTCTACTCTTCTTGCAAGACACTTTGCAGTTTATGGTGTTTTGAGTGAGCATTTGGAAGGGAATTTAGAGCTTATGCTTATGTATATATTAATTAAAATTAGAATATAATTTACTACTTTGCAATGATAACAAGTTCGGTATCGGATATCTAGTTTGACTAGGAAGCCTGTTTAAAGTGGAAGAATATTAGTTCTATGATGACATTTTTTTCTGGAAAAACGAGAAGGAGCGGATGGCCTTGTCGATCATGACAAAGATTTGCTAACTTGAGCTTAATTATAATATCTTTAACTCTTAACTATATATAAAACTGTTATAATAACAAAATTTCAACTAAAATTCCTAAATAGATATCTATCAGACTTTAAAAAAATTCTCAATAAATTACCATTGAATTTTTAAAAGGTTCCAAACAATGATGTTAATATGCTATGGTTTTTATGTTTTTACTCCAAACATTTGTAAGTATAGACAACCAAATGGAAAAAAATTGGTGTAAAAAAGATATAATAATCGTTACTGTTTCCCCAAAAATTCTCTAGTGGCCTCGCAAGTGTGAAATCTGGATGCAGGTGTGCCACTTACTTTGCTGAAAGTAAGAAAGGAGGACTTTACCAACGACCCTCTCCTTCCTCACAGTCGACCTCTTTGCAAATGACGGGAAGAATGTTGAATTAAAATTGAAATCTGCACCTATAGAAGATGTTGCAAGAGGGAGGGATACCTTCCCACAAAATGGGTTACAAAATCTGTCTTAAACAACTCCAATGACTTAAACACTACCGTAACTTAAAATTAACAAATCCAAATTAACCTAAATAGCATGCAATTTAAAGTAAATTTACGAGAAAAAGCTGTACCCAAATTAAATTAAACACGTTCATTGCTAAATTAAAATGGTATCTACTAACAGATCTAAAAATTAAACTACTGTAGAATTGGAGAATTAACCCTAATTAACATTAAAATTAAACATGAACAATGAATAAATTAACATGCTTGAAATTAAGAAGAAGTGTGGATGACATATAAGTAATCATTGAAGAAATGCTACTTATCATAAACATTAAAATAATTACAGACAGAAAAGGAACAATACCTTGAATAAACTTGAAAGATTGAAGTTGATTGCATGAAACGAAATTGTTAAAGCGAATACATGAATTAGTCTATCTATTGGAATGATGAAAGACAACCTAAATCTATTGGAAATTATGCTGAAATCCAAAATCTAGAAGCAATTGCAGAGAAAATAAAGTCTGAAAATTTGCAGATGTTTGAGTAGGGTAGGCCGTCCCTTCTTCCTTCCAAAATTCCCTTTTTGTTCTCCTTTGGCCGACAGTAACCCCCACTTTCTGTAGTTACAAAGTTGTGAGTGGTTTCTTGAGGTAGTGGGATAGCTCACCTATTGACTTGGTCTGATCTCCTTCCAGATTTTTGCCACTTGTACTCTTATCAGATAAAACCCCTCTTTAACTGCAATCTTCTCCTATATTTTAGCTCAAGCAGTCCCTTTTTACCTTAAAGAGATAATTACACAGTAAAATCTCATCTTTATCTCTCATTTTTTGCCAAAATGACAGTTGATTTGTCATGGAGCCCACAATAATAGATCTGACCTGGCTTAATCTCCTCTATTCATTTAAAAAATATTACACGTGGCATTATCTTAAAATTTTGCAATTTATGACGTAAACAGTGACTAGAATAAAATAACATTAGAAAAAGGATAAGGGGAGAAAGATTACTAATATAAAAATTGTTAATATATTAGAAATCAGTGTGATTAATGTAGAGTATAAATAAATATAATGATAAAATATAAGAGATAATTTAAGTGATAAAGTCTCAAAACAATTAATTCTAATTCCTACTAAAAGAACTAGAAGCATAAGTTTTTTTATTATTATTTGGATTGTCAAGGTGTCCTATTCGCCCTCAAAGAGAGTAATTCTACCCTGGATGAATCTTAAGAGCACACCCCTATAACAGCTTAGTGCATTCAAAGAAGTTAAATTCTTTAGGTGTAGAACCCAAGTTTTAAATCATGAACCTGATTTACAAAAAGACACTAATTTACTAGTTGATTCAACCATGGAATTAAAAGCATAATCAGTTACCAAATAGTAAGAATTAATCAAATCTTTTCCAAAGTATATGAAGCACCTACACTTTTACTTCGCTAAAGTTAATTAAAATGTCCATTGATTTAAGTTTCTATATCAAACATTTCACTTGTTTCTTAATTTAAAATAAAACTGCTAATTAATTAACTTTAAATATGTAAAATTTTAATTAATATGTGAGATAATTAATTAACAACATATTTTTAAATATTTTTCATTTTTTTTAGTGCATCACATAATTTTTTACATAATAAGATATAACCATTTTAAACCATCCTCAATTAATTTATATTCGAACTTAAAACCACCAACCAACCAAATATTTTTTATGTAAACTAATGGAAGGCCATGCACATGAATCATGATCACTTCCCCCGGTATGTAAAACATGCATTAGGTACCTGCTTCTTTTCTTTTTAAGGTAAAAAAGCAATTATACTAAAGTTCCAATGCCAGACGTGTTATCATTGTAAAGTAGTAAATTTAATAGCCCAATTTTAATATAGAAGCTTAAGGTTACGGAAAAAGTTTTCAAATAATACATATATGTTTGTTCTTTCAAGGCTAAGGTTACGGTGAAACGAGCAGAATTGTCACTTGCACAACATGGTCCGCGATAAAATACAGATCACACTCACCGAAGACGAGGTTAAGAAATTGAAGTCATTGGAGGAAGCTGAGACCGGTCCGTCGACACCAAAAAAGCCATTAATACAGAAGGTTACGCGCAGATCTCACGCGCGTACTACAGTATGGAAGAATGCGAACGATATTTCGAACCAAATTCTGTTGCAATCGGTCCACTCCACCATGAAAAAGATCCTAAAGGAGATTGGAGATGCGAAGGAGGTTAGAAGTCCAACCTACAACTGGCGGCGATGTTCATCAAAAACAGTGGGAGGAGGAAGGAAGATTTCTACAACAATGTGAAGATGGAGATAAATAACTTGAGGAAGTGCTATGACCCCAAAGATGTAGAGAAATGGAATGATGAGGAGTTGGCCTTAATGTTCGTTGTGGACGGCTGTGCATTGTTGAATTTCATATACATTGATGTGAATAAAAAGTGGAAGGAATTGGGAGGCAAGAATTATCTAGTCGCCTTTCCGAAGCTGGATTTATTCTTGCTTGAGAACCAACCACCCTACCAACTCCTTAAGATACTAATAAAGACGTGCAATAAAGTCCCCGATAATGAGAAAGTGAAAGATTCAAACCTCGCCAGGGAATTGAAGAAGTCCATCATCAGCTTCATCAATATGAATGACACGAGGCCGGTATATGAAGAAGAAGAAGAATAAGAAGAAGAAGAAGAAGAAGGAAAAGAGCCTGCTCATCTTCTGGAACTGTTACGGAGATGACTGATCCATATGGAGGGTGCAAAACATGAACAAGATGAGAAACTGGATAGCAATTTGGGGAACCTAAAGAATTGGCACACACTTCGCAACATAAAGGAGCTGAAAGATCATGGGATTTCGTGTAAACCGAGCGAGACGAGCAGCGTCATGGATATTACATTCTGCCCCAATTTTTACATGGCAGCTCTAAAGCTGCCTCCCATCAAGGTTGACCATTACACGGTGCCAAAGTTGATGAACTTGATAGCATATGAGATGTGTCCGGATTTCATGAACGACTTTGAGATCATCTCCTTGTCTCCTTCCTTGACTCTTTGATTGATAAAGCGGAGGATGTGAAGGAATTGAGAGATGCTGGCATTCTGGGCAACAGACTAGGAAGCGACAAAGCTGTAGCGAGGCTGTTCAACAAGATCAGCACAAATCTGGTGGCTGGTGTGCCAAATCCTAAGCAATACAAGGAATTGACACATAGAATCCAAGAACACTGCAACACTGCGTGGAGCATCCACTTGGCTCAGCTCTATCACACCTATTTCAGCAGGCCCGAGAGCATCTTGGCCTTCCTTGGTGCTCTACTTGGTCTTAGTTTGACAGCTGCGCAGACTTATAAGAGCTTCAATTGACGACTGCAGCCCATACAGTCAAAAGAAATATTCACATGTTTAACCTATAGTTATATTCGGATTATACTTATGTTGTGACATTTCTGATTTCCTGTGCGGCTGTGCTGTCAGTTATTTTCTGTGCATAACCAATATGATCTGCACATAGGTATTCCTACTTTATTTCTTATTATCCCTATCTAGTTTGATACTCTGTAATGTCTGTTTTCTTCAGTCTTATATATAGTGATCTTGTTGATGTACGTGTTGCATATATATAAGTTCGAAGGAATTAGCAGCAAATTGATAATGAATCCTGGGGTATACTCACATGTGAAAAGAGCATCCCACTGGAGCATCATGACATTAATTCCTCGTTGCTTCTGCTGAGTCTTGCTATTCAGAATCATAAATAGATCAATATGTAATTTATTAATTTCCATGAAATCATATGATATTGAAAGCAGTTGCATATCTGCATATGATTATTTGCGCTTTTGCATTTGATCAACATATAATTTTAGCAAGGCATACAATATGACGCACGCACACACCTCATCATAAGACAGGACAAATATATCCAACTGCTTTAAAATCTTCCCCCAAAAAAAAAAAAAACCTACAATTTTGGGGTTTATGAAAGGCAAGACTATGATTACCAGCTAAAATCTTTCGTTAAGATGTGATGAGCTTGCTTTGGCCAGAGTATGAATCCAAGGGTTTGTCTACAGAGTGATTCAAGATGAAGAAAGAAGTAAAAAAGGATATGCAGGGCAAGGATCATGTAAGCAGTGCACCACAGTGGCACTTTTTCATAGGATCATGATTGTACACTGGTTTGGAATACTTCTTGTATTCAATTAATGAAATATCTTGAAATTTTAATCATATAAATTGAGATTTAATTCAGATTTTGAAGTTTTTTCTTGATTTTATTAAATCTTTCTTTAATTGTTTCTATAGAATCCCCAATAAATACAAGGAAAATTATACTTCCCAATATATACATTACATGATGACTTGCCAAGCAAGAAAATAGGCTGACTTGTTCTTTTTTGGTGAACATTAAGAAATAAAGGGAAATGACAATGACAATTTACAACCAAGGGCATTTTTTTTTTTTTATCTTAGGTTATATGTTAGGAGGTAACTCTTTTCTATTTTTTAACCTACCTTACTTACATGTCATATGACTTAAATTTTTAACTTTTTACTTCCGTAAAAAATTACCATTAAACCATGAATATGGCCATGAATTAGGCGCATCTTTTACCATTGCAGCTAGTTACAGACATTATGGTATGAGATTCATGTGTTTTAGGTTAGACTACATTTTTCAGACACTAAAATTACTAAAATGTTATTAATGAAATAACATATAAAAGAGTTTCATTAAAATTATTTTAGTAAATTCATAAGTTATACTACACAAAAAAAAATTGAAAATATATATGAGACTCATGTTTTATAGGTTAGATTACAAATTAAAAATATAGTTCAACATATAAAATTACTAAAGTACTCTTAATGCAATAACATAAGACAGTTTTATTAAGATATTTTAGTAAATATGTTATAAAATACTTTTTCAAATATATGTTGTGGCACTTTGTTTACTGAAATAATCAGAGGGTTTGAGTGACCATAAGCAAAAGGTAAAGGTCTCACTGAAAATCGGGTTAAAGTTTAAGGGTTCAAAATGGGTTTCTCCAAGTGCCAACCACGGATATAGGAACATCGGGAAGTGAACGCCACCAGGGATAGCAGTGGGTACGGCGAAGGCGAAAATAACTGCTTTCCGGCGCTAAAGAGATGGGAAGTTCGTCTTCCGATGATTTCTCCGTCTTTGTTGTCGCCTCCGATTTGGGCGTCGACGCACGCCCTTTCCTGACCAACTAGGACAGAGAAGCAGATGAACAGGCGAACTGGCAAGACTGTTCGCAGCACTTCTCCTCCTCTTCAGACGAAGATTTCTGCGATCTCGAATTCCTGCGATCTCGAATTCCTGCAGTTCTTCCGCATAGGGCTCCGATAAATCCGGAAACCGCATCTTCCGCATCGTGGAAAAGTACTTTCCCGGTGATTACCGATACCCCTGTCGGTGTTCAATTTCATTCATTATATCTTATCCAATCTTTTTTTAAGCAACTGTTTTCTATCTTTGTGGGTTCCTGTTTGATTGATCTTAATACTTGAATTCCATATCTAAATTTTTCTTTAGTTACGGTCTTGTTTTCTCAAACTATGGCTGTCTTTTATGTTTTATGTCTTACTATTGTCCAACTGAAAATGAGAATTTGTTGGATACCCAAATTTTGGAGCTTTTCATTCATTAGCTTAATTTTAGTTCTTAGAAGTTTGAAGAATGGAATGATGGTGTTTTTTCATTTCGTGTGATTCAGAGTAATTCCAGCAGGGAGGTTCTTTTTGTCTGAAAATTGAAAATCAAGATGTGTTGGTATTGAAAATGGCAGAACTCATTACGAATTGTTCAATACCCTTAATAAAACTATTTGTGTATTGAATCATTAAGGGTATTTTAGTCTTTTTATTATCATTTCCAGCAATTACGCATAGGTCCTGATTTTCTTCAATCCCATTCTGCTTATGGGATTTTGGTTTGAAATCTTATTAACTAGTTTCTTCTTTCAATATATACAGCTCCTGTTGTGAGTGGTGACCGGCTGAAGAAATATATATTTCAGAAAATATGCACTGAGTTGCCTGAAGGGCCATCCTGCATTGTTTATATGCATGGCACAGCGCAAAAGGAGGATGACTCCCCTGGTCTTACTATCTTGAGGTGGATTTATGAAGAGCTTCCCTTGGATATCAAGGATAGGCTGCAAGTCGTGTACTTCATACACCCTGGGCTGTGGTCAAGACTTGTTTTTGCCACTTTTGGCCTATTTTTCTAAAGTGGCAGGTGTGTTTTAATTTCACTTCCGCATAACAGATAGTATTCTCCTTTTCCGCTATTTAACAGTAAAGCATATTTAGGAATATGGACCAAATATTTTAAAGTTTTATGCGCAAAATTTTCATAGTCAAATAAAATATAAGATTGATGAATGCTGAGACTCTTCACTTTGTTCAGACACTCGTCTGTCAGTTTAAGGGAAGAACCTGTAAAAAGTTTATGGTACATGTTTGGTATACTTGATCCCTAATCCATCTAATATAATAAGATGAGAACTACTGGCCAGAAAAATAATTATTTATGCAATGCAGTTTTGGAGATTGAACCCTGGATTAACTCCTTACAGAAAACAGAATAAGGTTACAGTTAGGGCCAATAGGGGAGAACAGCCGCCCACAGTTAGTGTTGCCTGAATGTGCACCTAGGTTGGTGGATTGTTGGAGTAAGTGGTCATCTGAGTTCTTTCTTATGTTGAAACTCTGCCTATCAATCATCACATCTGCAAAGTTCAAATTGAGCCTTTTTCAGCAACTGGGGACAGATGCAAGCACTGGTCCTGCAAATGACGTATTGAACAAGCGTCCTAATTGAGATGCTTGCCAGTTGAACAGAACTGTCTTGCTGGAAATTTTTAAACCTTGGTAGGCTAAATATGCTTATTGCTAAGAATATTTTTAAAGGAGTCACATTTTTGTTTCAAATGAAATGCATTATTTTTTATACTTATTAAAACGCATCAAAATTCTTGCCATCAATCTATATATATAGTCTTTGCTTTTAAAAACTGTCGATACCCACACACCCCACCCTGCAATGCAAACCCACGCATACCATTTTTCTCCCTCAGTACCTCCTCCACTGTCTCTTCCCCTCTCTCTCCATGGATGTTTAGAGCCTCAAGTAGTTATTTTCGTGTTCTCCAAGGTAATTAACTGTGCACTTCAAGGCATTCATGAAAAGAACATAATTTTCATATTTTCAATCATGCAGGGTTATTAAAACATATTCGAGATTGCAAACCCATTTGAATTGAAAATATAAAATTGATTTCTACTTTTGATTTTCGTTGTTCATAAGAATTCTTCTTGGTGTAACTTTTGCTTTTGCTATAACCTTTTTTAGCTTATACTGGAAGATCAAGTACGTAAGCCGTTTGCAGTACCTCTGGGAGGACAAGAAGAAGGGGAGGTTGAGATTCGAATTTGTGTAGAATCACGATGATATTCTTGAGCACAGACCACTGACAGATTATGGCATTGAACCAGACCCTCTCCACCTAACAGGGGTGCCTGCTGCAGCTTTACTCATTTGGGAGTAATGAAGAGAGATGGACCTCAATGGAATTCCTTTCATAGTCTTGCTGTTATGTACATACAGACCCATGACCCCTCCCAAACCGAAAATAAGGTTGCTTTGTATCTTGGCTAGGTTAGGTTTTTATGTAAAAACCGAAGCATTGTACAGAAAAGTTACATAATTTTGTCGTGTGCTCCCTCTCGTCTGATTTGGATGTTATAGTTTAACCTTACACAATTGCATTGAAAACTCATTTAGGGTGCATTTGGTTCACAGAAAATGACTTCTTGTTGGTTTATACTGTAAAAATCCTCTAATTTTCCACAAATCAGAAATCAAACCATAAAGAGCGTGAAACGAAATGGATATACTGAAGAGGTCAATGGTTCATCTTCATCTCTTACACTTTACAAGCCAACAATACACTAGAGACGTTGCCAAGATGATCATAGCCAGAGGCCTAAAGTATTAGCCAAACAGAGCCTAATTCCAAAACCATTCTTCGGGGGAAGATCTTTGGATTTGGAATTCCAGGAATGTTATTATTCTTTCTATATTGTTTTAATATTCGGTACTGTGGAAACCTAAAGCCTAAAACCACACTAGCATATGCATTTACTCTTTTGGCAGCTAAAAGGAAACACACATTGTAGTAGTAGTAGTAGTATTATCATACTTGGGGTAGAATGGACCCAGCGGAGGTGGATTCTGTCAGAACCCCTCATAAGTCTGGATAGCTGTCAAAGCAAGACCCAGAAGGGCACCGAAGAAGGCCAACATGCTCCAGGGGCTCTTGAAATAGGTGTGATAGAGTTGAGCCACGTAGTTGGCAAATGCGCTGTCGCAATGTGCTTGGATACGAATCATACAATCTCTCAAATTGGGGTTCTGCAGCCTAGGCTTTGGCACCAGGTTGCTGATCTTGTTGAACAGCAATGCTACGGCTTTGTCGCTTCCTAGTTCGTTGTACAGCACGCCGGCGTCTCTCATTATCTTCACATCCTCCCTTTGATCAATCAAGGAGTCAAGGAAGGACACATAGGAGGTGATCTCGAAGTTGTTTTCGAAATCTGGACACATCTCGTACGCTATCAAGTTCATCAACTTGGGCCAAGTGAAGGGGTCCACGGTGATGGGAGGCAGCTTTAGGGCTGCCCCTAAGAAATATCCTCGGAAATCAATGTCCTTGATTCTGCCTGACTTGCTAACTTTAAGCCAAATGCCCTTTTCTTTCAACTCCTTTACGCTTCGAAATTTGGGCCTCCAATGACTGTTCTTATCACCAGAATTGCTGTTAGAAGAAATACACTTGCTTATGGTTACATCTGATCCCTTATCACCAGAAGGGCGCAACTTTTTCAGGAGCTTACTTATGGTTCCATCTGGTTCCTTATCCTTCTCTGATTTGGTCAGTCTTCTCGACAATAGTTTCAGAAGATGAGCAGGTTCTCGTTGAGTATCAATCGTTATTGCTGTTGTTGTTGCTGCTGCTGCTGTTTGCTGTTGTTGCTGCTGCTGCTGCTGGGTCAGTCTTCTCCACAATAGTTCCAGAAGATGAGCAGGTTCTCGTTGACTATCAATCATTATTGCTGTTGTTGTTGCTGCTGCTGTTGTTTGCTGTTTTTTCTGCTTCTGCTCAACTAGACTCATGGCATTCTTATTGATGAAGTTGTCGATGGACTCCTTCAATACCTCGGCAGCAGATTTATTTTTATATTTTTTATCCAGGGGATTAGGACGAGGAACTCCAGCGCAAAAGCGCATCAATATCTGAAGGAGTCGGTACGGCAGTTGGTTCTCAAGCAACAACAAATCTATCTTCACATATGCGAGCAGATCATCCTTACATCCAAGTTCCTTCAGATTTTCAGTAGCAACATGGTCTATGAGGAACAACACCGCGCAGCCATCCACAAGAAACATCCAGGCCAAGTCCTCATCACTCCATGTTTCTATCTGCTTGCTGTCATAGCACTCCCTCAAGCTATTGATCTCCGCCTTGACTATTATGTAGAAGGCTTCCTTGGCCGTCCCACTATACTCGATGAACTTTGTCGCCATTTGTAGCTTGCTCTTCTCACCTCTTTGGAGTTTTGAATCAGGACTATTGTCATGGTGGAGGGGACCGAGTGCAACAGAAATTGGTTTGAAGTACCGTTCGAAATCCTCATTGTCTTGTAGTAGTAGGTGCGTAACCCTTTGTATCAGTGGCTTGGTGGTCGTCGCGGTTGGAAAGCAGCCTCCATCTTCCAAGGATTTCAGTCTGTTCATCTCCGTTTGGGTGAGTTGTTCCATGTTGGGCGAGACTGCTCTTTTTGCGAACAATTTGCAATTTATGGTGTTCTGCGTGAGCATGTACAAGGAAATATACAAGGAAAAGCTTATGCTTATGTACATGTTAAAATTGGACAAGGATGATAGGCACAATTGAAAAATGGTCCGAATTTTTAACCAAGATTGAATATACTGGTGAGTAATTTTCATCTTATAAATTGGTTCTTTAAATTTACCCAACTGATATGGGCAGTGTGCAAAAATTAATTCAGAATATTTGACCATTAATACCAAAAATATATATATTAAAATTGAAAATTAATTTACTATTTTGCAATGATAACAAGTTTGGTATTACAGTATTGGATACCCCTTTTTTTTACCTTTGTATATTGAAGGGTTTGTTGATTAACATGACAAATATTTAAATATTTAACTTTAATCTTAAATTAAAATTTTTAAATTAATAAATATCAATTTAATTAAGCTTACCGATATTGGATTTCTAATTTGACAAGGAAGTCTGTTAAAGTTATGCTTATTTATACATATGTTTTCTCCTTTATCGTGTAGAAGAAATTGCGTTTTTTGGGCACCAATTTTTTACTCAAAAAGTATAAGTTGGTTCTCAAATTTCAATTGTTAGTTTTTCAGTCCCAAATATTTTATTAGTCACGAAAATAGTATATCGTTTTATCAATCGCTGTTTGGGTAGCTTCACGATCCTACACTGTAGATATCTTCAACTACTTTAACACTTGAAAATCCCGAGGATGTTTCCTTGGAGAAAACACTCCAATGCACAGGTTAGCAATATTCAATATTCTAGAGAGAGAAACTCTTAAGGAGTAATTGTAGAGAAAGAAGCGTAGTGGAGTTAATACCTTGAGTAGAGGTAGTTGGGGGGTATTTATAGCCCCATGTGTTGACATGAGTCCATACGTGTAAGCATCCGATTGGTCCATTTGTTATTACCCACGTGGGTATGTTTGTACTAGTGTATGAATGTCTCTTCATTTGGGTTTATGGATGTACGACTGGGCCTGTTGTACATGGCCCAGATTGAATGTTGGGTCCATTCCCAACATTACTCCCCCCTCAGTGTTCGGTTGACGAACTAGGTTGAATGCTCCCGTGACCCAACGTTCGACTTGGAGAATAGGGTCTAACCATTTTTAGATTTTATGAACGACCTCGTCAATGGTCGAACTGAAAGATAATGGAACAAGGTACACACCCAAATGTTGAGGTTTGACTTAAACGAATTGTGATGTATCCGAGTTGAACCCTAGATGAGGAAGCCATTAACGAAAATGTTATACCCGGGCGGCTTGAACTCAGGGCGACCTCATCAGGCATCTATGGGTAGACCGAATTCCTGTCCGAGCGTGCGTGGGCGAGCTGATACCAAAGCAATCTTATTCGTGTGAATTTGGTGTACATCAGCGAGCTCAACGAACTTGAAAAAGCCAGTTTGTATGATAAATTTCCAACTTCCAAGTGGAGTAGGTCTAGAAAGAGATGAAATCTCTTGGTAAGGCACATGTCATATATGAGGTATCATGCGTTATGTAGCAACCTCATCTACACTGACGTGAAAGTGAGCAAACACCTGATGATCTGAACCACGACAACCTTTCGAAAATTCTAAAACAAAGTATTGAGGTCGCCATGCTATTACGAGAATGAGCTAAAGTAAAACGATCTCAACCTTCAACGATCTGAGATCTCTAAAGGGATGTGATTACGAAGACGAGCTGAAATGGGCGACCTCAATCATCATAGTGAAGTAGATCCTTGAGGTATGGAACAAATCCGAGAAAATTTGTTACAACCTTAACCTTTGGGATTTTTCAAATTTTAAAATGAAGGAAATCTCTGATGAGATACATTTGATATCCCTTCACCTCTCTGCCTTCCCCGCAATAAATGCTGGCTCAGCATTTGAAGAGATGTGATAGCTAAAACCGATGGACGTTACACGCGAAGGCTTAAGTGGTTGCCACGTGTGGGATTTTAAATGGTGCGTCAGAGACACACGTACGATAATTAAGGTTGGACAATCTGTTTGAGAAAAATGGCAGAGGAACGATCATATAACCGCTTTCTGTTTGCTTTGCACTATACTTTCTGTCATTTTCTGCAACGAAGCTTTTGAAGTGTAAAGAGCACAACTCCGAAATCACAGATGTAGAAGAGTATTATACATGTCAAATTCAGGTAAAAATGGATTTCTTTAGAGAACTTAAAGAACTTCGGGATAGCTAGGGCAAGGAAGAGGAAGGGGGTGTGATTTCAGTGGAACCCATTACGACGATAATACTGCCGGAACTGCAAGATTTGCCAGAAACTATTACGCCGGATAGCAGTGCTAGTGCCAGCACACATGGTGACTCTGCTGGTCACCATTCTACAATCTCTAAAGGTTCGTCTTTAGAGGGGATGCCCAGTGAGGCAGGAGATGAAGGAGAAGGCGCTAGCAATCCTTCCATGGCACCTGTGGAGGCAGGCATGTCCGTGTTTGCAGAGTGGGAGGGTAAAACTTTCAATAAAAGGTTGAGCAATATTTGAAAAGTGCCAAAAGATTTGCCTGCTGGATTCAGGTTCAAGGCGGCGCTACGTCATGAGGTAGCAGATGGTGTGGCTACCATTAAAGGGTACAAAAGATTGGAGGAAATGGTGAGAGAGTATCAAATCCCTAAACGATTCTGATACTAACTAGCACAAAGAATGAAAGGGCGTGCTCAGTGTCTAGGATGGGATGGTGGCCAGTGTACGTTGATCATTTTGATGTTGGTCTACATTTTCCTCTGCTTGAGCTAATTTTTGATGTTCTAGCAGAGTACGAGCTGGCCCTAACGTAGTTGACCCCCAACAACATAAAGTTTGTTATAGGGTTTATGTTGTTGTGTGCGAGGTTGGAGATACCAACAAAAGCGATAGTTTTCAGGTCACTGTTCCTGTGTTGACTATGCCCTTCTACTAGTAGGACGAGGTGGTATTACATCTCTGGGAGGGAAAAGATGATGCTTTTTACGAATATTAGGAACAAAGTAGCGAGGTGGAAAAGACAGTTTTCATTCGTGACACGCGAATGGAGAGGATGAATAACCAGCTCGCTGCCTATATTTCTGAGCGGCATGTTCCAAACACATATATGAACTACCCTTAGTTGACTCCTCGTGATGTCGACCTGAAAAATCAGCTGCTAGATTATGTGAAGACTAAAGGATTAGTGGATCTAAAGGCCCTGGTTACCTCTGAACAGCTCGCTGTGTTTGGGTTTGTCGACATGGCAAACCAATACACTGAAGGTATATTTCTATTGTATATTGTGAATTCCAACCGATCTGAGTCTTATGTATTTGTTTGTGCATAAGAAATGAGCAGCGTACTTGAGAGGCAACGTCAACGAGCTCAAAGCTCGCATAACCGCGGAGCAGGGTCTAGCTCGCAACGGTAGACTCATTTTGATGAACGGCTACCTGTGGCACCATCTCGTAGCTCGTCACAGAGGGAGCGAGGTTCGAGCTTAGTGTCTAGATCCCAGGCTAAGCATAAAGTACACACTCAACCTTTAGATTCTCGAAGGTGCACTCGTGATGAGTCAGATGTAGAGGATGACATTCCACTCATCCGGCGAAGGGATGAGCTCAGGGGCTCAGCCTGTTACACCCGCTATGACGTGATCATCCAACGTGCCACCTGCATTGACACGTGATGTTGCTGAGCCGCCACCTGCCTCAACATCTACATTGGGGCCTAAGATTGCATACCCTGAGAGCTTCAGTTACCTCAAAGTTGATTGCCAGGTTGCCATTGTGTAGGGTATGCAAAATTTTGTTCCCTCTGTAAATCGGCAGCGTGCCAAAGGGCATATTCAGCAGCATGGGGGCCATGCTGCTATGCTAAAGTTGATGGACGTATGTATTGTCATTAAGCGTTTGTATTATTATATTTTTTCAATTTTTTATTAGAAATTAACAATTGAATTTATGTGTCAGGCGTTCAGCTACGCGGTTGCACTCTTTGAGTGCGAGCAAAGGGCACACGAGCAAAACCGTGAGCTCAAGGAGAGCTGCAAACAGCTGACCTCTGAGAAGGCAAGCTTGGAGGATGAGGTCAGCCGCTTGCAAAGCTCTGAGATGGCGAACAGAGCTGCGTCAACGAAGAGCCGAGCTGACGGGTTGGCCTACAAGGTCAACGAGCTGAAGGAGGAGCTGGAGAAGGCTCAGGCTGAGAGGGATAGTGGCATCCAAACAACCAAGGATGAGGCCAGCCGTGCTGAAAACCATGCCAAGAGAGTGAAAGCTAACAAGAATAAGGCTCTTTATGAGCTGAACTCCATGGAGGAGAGGGTGGCCGAGGCCAACTGGAACGTTGCTCGAGCTGAGGCATCACTAGAGAGAGTCAAGAAGTCTCACCGGCGCTCTATCTGTATTGCCCAAGCACAAGGGGCAGAGTGGTTGGTTGGAGCTAATATGTTGCAAGACGTCGTGGCAATCGCCTTTGCAAATACCACCACGGAGATCTACAATGAAATTCATGGGAAGTTATTACGGCACCGGGCTGACTTCCTAATCGACGAGCTGGCCTTCTTCGAGGGAGAGGAAATGGACGAGCAAGGAAAAAGTCTCGCTCCTCTTGCTAATGCCACGGTGAGGCTGAGGTGGGAGCTTAACAAAGAAAGAGTGCTAGTGTAGCCTCCATCCATTATGAAAGAAGGGGAGGACACTAAGGGTTTGTCAAGCTTCGATGCTTGGGTGGCAGAGCCCTTTGAAGTGGAGGCCGAACCATCAAGCATCCCCCCATCTTCTCAACCCGCTACTGCTCCAGCTCTTCCCTCGCCAGCTCGTTCTGCTCCAACTCAGCTATCTCCTACTCGTGCTTTTGTTGCGCTCGCTAACGCGTCCATTCCTGTCGATCTGACAAATGATTAGTTTTAGGCTTATTTCTTTCTTCTGTATTTTTTGTATTGGTCACTTGACCCATTAGAACGTTTTAAAGACTGTCCCCTACATTTACATGTATATTTTTTTGGAAAGAAATACAAAAATGGACAACATTTGATGAAGTTTCTGTATTCAGTAATCTTTCTACACACTTTACATCTTCTGAGTATGTTTAATCGTAGTACAAACTAACTATAATATCTCTTGAGATTGTGTATATTTCAAGTAAATGGTAATTGATGACCTTATGAATCTACTAGTAAGACCCAGGTCGTTTAACTTGAACAACCATATAAGAATCTTCCCAATTGGGAGCGAGCTTACCCATGTGTAAATAAGCGTTAGTGAGCCCAGCTTTGCGTAAAACCAGGTTGCCGACCTGAAATTGTCGAGCACGAACCCTTTTATTGTAAAATCTAGCAACACGACTCTGATAGGCCACGTTTTTCATCCGAGACATTTCCCTAACCTCCTCGACAAGGTTTAGGTTTTCTCTCAGGAGTTGCTCATTATTAGAATCATTATGCCGAGCTGACCCGTTAGATGACAAGCCAATCTGCACTAGGATTGGCCTCAGTTCCATAAGCAAGGCAAAATGGAGTTTCGCCAGTGGCCGAGCTGGGCATAGTGCGGCACGACCAGAGCACTTTGTTGAGCCTGTCAACCCCATTAGAGAGCGCTGCCAGGACATGTGTCTTAAGGCCATGCAAAATGATTTTATTGGCCGACTCTACTTATCCGTTTGACTGTGAAGTATATACAAATGTGAAGGCTAGCTCTATGTTGTAATCATCACAAAACAACCTAAGTGCTGCTGCTCGGAACTGGGGTTTGTTGTCAGCAATTATTCACTTAGGAATGTCAAACGTGCATACAAACGCACTAACTAGGACACAAGTACTTGCGCATGTAATGCATGTGTGGTTTAAACCATTGATGAGTACCTACACAGTATGGAATTGAATAGGAACTCCTCTATTTTCTTCTTTGTTGTTGTGGACAACGGTTTGGCTTCTATCCATTTGGTAAAGTAATCCACAGCAACAACGAGGTACGTGTAACCTTCTTTGCCTTTGACAAAGGGGCCGAGCAGATCAATTCCCCATTGAGTAAAAGGCCATAGTGATGAAAGGGAAGATAGCATTTCTCCTATGCCAAAGGAGATATCCATGTTTAACTTAGAGACAAACGTGAAGTTTGTGCAAATTTTAGAACGAGCTCAGGTACTTGGCATGTGAATGTCGTCAGCGTTGAACTGGCAGGTTAGACATTTTTTAACATAATTTTGCGCATCCTCAACCCTAGTAGGCCAGTAGTACCCATGCCTTAGGATTTTCCAAGCTAGGGTTTTTCCTCCTATGTGTGTGCCTTACACTCCTTCATAAACTTCCCTTACAGCATATTCAACTTCATAAGGAGTAAGGCAACGTAATAGGGGCATAGAAGCTGCTTGTTTATATAACTGATCGTCAATTAGAGTGAAATGTGCCACCCTGCGTCTTATTAATCGAGCATCAGATGGATCCTCAGGCAATTCACCATTTCACAAGTAATTAATCAAGGGTGTAGTCCAGCTCGGTGAAGAGGGATCTTTACTTAGTACTTGGCACTCAACTGTTAGGTTAGTATAGCTCGGGGCATCAAGTACTTCGACAACTGTTGTCCTTTGAGGATTGATTTCTTACGATGAAGCTAACTTCAATAACTCATTAGCTCGTCGATTATCCGCCTTCGGTATCTTGTCAATCTAAAACGAGATAAAGCTTGATTTCAACCTATTTACCAAAAAGGCGTAACGACCAAGCTAAGGGTCTCTGATATCATAGCTTCCATTCACTTGGTTCACTATGAGTTGGGAGTCACTAAAGACTCTTATGCTCTATGCTTCCAACTCAAATGCTAATTTCAGACCGTAAACGAGTGCCTCATATTCAGCAACATTCTTCGTTGTCTGAAATTTGAATATTAATGCATGCTTAGATTCAAAACCATCTGGTCCAATTAACACTGCCCCTGCCCCTGTCTTTACCCCTGATCCTTCGACATTTGCAGCTCCATCTACATATAGGGCCCACACTGGGTATGATGGTGCACTTTCTTCCTCAGCGACCGGATGGCATTCCACTAGAAAATCTACAAGGGCTTAGCCCTTAATAGTTGTGCGAGGTTGAAACTTGAGGTCGTATTCACTCAGCTTGACCGCCCATTCGATTAGTCGACTAGAAAGTTTCAGCTTCTGTAATATCTTCTGCAGTGGCAGGTCAGTGTAGACAACAACCTCATGAGATTGGAAGTAAGCCCTTAGCTTTCGAGCAGTACAAACAAGTGCAAAAGCAGCATTTTCAACAATTGGGTAATTCTGTTCAGCACCTTGTAAGACTTTTCTTATATAACAGATGGGTTTCTTATGTTTATGTTGCTCTCTTAACAGAACTGAGCTAACTACCTGATCTGTAATCCCTAGATACAAGTACAACTTCTCTCCTTCGACAGGCTTGGAGAGCAAGGGTGGTGATGTCAGGTATTATTTGAGTTCATCGAAAGCCTGTTGGCATTCATTAGTCCACTAGAAGTTCTTGGGCTCTCACAAAGCTCTAAAGAACGGAAGGCATTTTTCTGCCGACCTGGCAATGACTTTGTGCAGAGGAACAAGACAACCTGTTAGACATTGCACATCTTTTATTATTTTAGGGGGTTCCATCTGTTGCATAGCCTCAACCTTGTCTGGGTTCACCTCAATCCCTTTCTTGGATACCACATACTTCAGGAATTTGCTTGATTCTACAGCAAATGTACATTACAATAGATTTAACTCCATCTATACTCAACGTAGATTCTGAAATGTTTCATTCAGGTCGCTAATATGATATTCAGCTCGTACACTGGTGACAATCATATCATCAATATATACTTCAACATTCTTGTCGATCTAAAGCTTAAAGACAACCTGAACTAACTTTTGATATGTCGTGCCAGCATTCTTCAAACCAAACGGCATCATGACATAACAATAGATTGCATCCCCCGCATAAAATGTCATTTTCTCCTGGTCGTCCAACCACAACTGAACCTAATGATATCCTAAGCTGGCATTAAGGAAGCTCATGCGTTCATGCCCACCTGCTCGCTCTACTAACTTCTCCATGTTAGGCAAAGGGTATGGATCTTTAGGACATGTTTTATTCAAATTGGTGAAGTCAATGGACATTCTCCACTTGCCGTTAGGTTTCTTGACGAGCATAGGATTAGACACCCATTCAGAATATTCAACTCTCTTGATGAAGTCTGCTTATAATAGCTTCTGTATTTCTTCATCTATAGCAACTTGTTTCTCAGGGCCAAAAAGGTGACGCTTTTGAACCACTAGCTTTCTGGTGGGATCTGTACTGAACTTGTGGACTGCAAATTCTATTGGAATGCCAGGCATTTCATCTGTTGTCCGTGCAAACACATCCTAGTTAGCCTTCAAAAATTCCAAAAGCTCGGTTCTTTCTTCCATTGTGAGTTTGGTTCCTATTTTCACCATTTTCTCTAGCTCATCAAGGTTCAAAGGGACAGTCTCCACCGATTCTACTGGCTCGACCTTCTGCTCCACATTCTCAGGTTGGTGATCTATGTCAGATATGCTCATCATTTGTTGACATGGCTGACTCGGCCTAAAAGCATCTAAAACAGAGGTCTTGGGTGTTACTGCGAGCTCGACCTTCTTAAATATGTCCTGATAGTAGGTTCTAGCCATTTTTTGGCTCCCTTTAAGCACTCATACACCTTGAAGAGTTAGGAACTTCATACAGAGGTGTGGTTGAGAGATGACAACTTTCAATTCATAAGGTGTAGCTCTTCCAATTATAGCATTGAAAGCTGACTCCATCTTAACCACTAGAAAATTTACTGACGCCATCCAAACCGTGGTTCAACTCCCACGTAGATGGGAAGTGTGATTACTCCTTCAATAGGGACGAGTTGATTGTCGAATCTGTAAATTGGCCCTTCATACTTCTTCAAGGAAGTTGGCTTTAGCTGCATCTTTTGGAAACAACTCCAATATAGGATGTTCGGAGAACTGCCCATATCTATGAAGACCTTATTGTTGTGATTGCCAATGTGAACTATCGCCACGAAAGGGTCAGCGTGGGGCATCATAACGTCGGGTTCTCCCTCTAACCACTTGTAATCAGCTAGACTGAATGTAATGGGGGCATTTTCCCATTTTGCTTCCTCAAACGGTCGTTTCAAGGGCCTATTCTTGTTCACTATCATCACCTGGCGAGCATAGGCTTTACGACCTCGGGCACTCTGGCCTCCTGAATGCATGCCACATGAAATCATGCTGATTGTGCTAGAAGGTGGGGGTATTCTGCTGTAACCGACCCCTATATGATCCTTTTGATTCTGCGCAGAGGTTTTCTGTCCTTGTTCTCATCTGTTGAATGGGTGTCTTCTATACACTTTGCCAAACTCAAAAGAGTATTGACTCCCCTAGTATGGATTTTGATTACTGCTGAGCTAGTACGCTTGCCCTTGAGGTCGACTGTACTCTTGCACAAAGTGAGTTTGATTAGGTTGTTGGGCGTAAGGTTTCTAGACATATCCTTCTAGTTTTCCATTGCGAGCTAAGAATTCCAACTTGTCCTTCAGACTTTGACAATCTTCTGTGTTATGGCCATATCCACGATGGTAGTCATAATATTTGCTTCAATCCGCTCGTGGGAAATCATGTAGCAAAGGAGGTGGTCTCTTGACCCAGCGTTGGATTTGTGCCAAAATTTGAGACCTTGACGAGCTCAGAGGAATGTAATTGGCATATTTTGGGAAGGAAGATGGCTTTCCTCTCTACTCGCCAACTTTCTGCTTTTTCTTTTCTTCTCTTCCTCTTGGCTATTTGTTCTCCTTACTTTGTTTATCGTCAGCTTGTCGCTTGGACAAATGAAAGTCTTATGACAATATGAAGCTCGTTGACCTGTCATTTACTTCGTTCCACGACTTCGGGGGATTTTCCAACAGGTTGTCTAAGAACTGACCAGGTTTGAGGTCGTGTAGTAGGGTAGACAAATAGATGGTATTAGGGACATTATCAATGTCTAGGGTGGCCTTGTTGAATCGCTGCATATAGTCTCTCAAAGACTCTCTTTCCTTGTGGTGAACTTGCATAAACTCAATATCAATTCGTTTTTATCTCCCTTTGGCTTGCAAATTTGTTAGAGAATAAAGTAACGAGCTGGGAGTATGAAGCTATAGAGTGTCTAGGGAGCTTGTGGTACCATCTTCTAGTAGTGGATTTCAACGTTGTAGGGAACACCTTGCACATCATTGCATCAGTAGCGTTCTGAATTTTCATGATGGCTTGATAGGTGTGCAAGTGTTCTTCCGGGGCGCTGGAACCATCATATGTTTCTAAATGGGGAATTTTGAATCCCTCCTGATATGGTTCTGCTGTAATGGGCAGGTTGAGAGGGGCACTGTCTAAATCCAAGGCTTGTTGACACGACCTCGGACTTTTTAGCTCGTCAATAGACCTCTATATATCTTTTAGCTGCTTCTCGAGTTCTGCGTTTTTCTTCATTAATTCATCACTGTGTTTGGATGAGCTGGGCTCTGGATTTAATCTTCCACTTCCCCTTGGCTTGGTTGGAACCACTACATTACTCAAGGCCGAGGAGTTGTGAGTTGCAACCACTACTGCTCGCTGCTCACCCTATTCAACAGAGGAATTAGGGGGTCATCAGGGATCAAACGAGAGAGAATTCTTCCCATGGCCATTTCTAGAACTCTGGTTCTTTCTTCCAGCTTGGTTGTCCGAGCGGATTCCATGGATCTCTTAAGTCGTGAAGTATTTTGCCTGCAATGCCTTCGCTTGGTTTCCATTGGGATGTGAAACTGTTCTTCGGGTTAGGTTGCGTACCCAGTAGGTGTTCATTTATCATTCGAGCTATTTGATTGTTCTTGTTCTGCTCTACCAATGAAAAGGTTTCTTGGCATTAGCCGTAAATCATTGAGGTCACTTTCCAAAGGTTGAGTATTGTCTTAGTCGTCCACATTACCTCTCGGGGGGCAGTTCCCTGTAAAGGTATGTACCATTTTTAGCTCAAGCTAGTTAAACTATAGCACTTTTTGTTCAGTTTCCCACAAACGACGCCAAATGTTTGGGCAGCTTCACGATCCTACACTGTAGATATCTTCAACTACTTCAACACCTGAAAATCCCAAGGATGTTTCCTCGAGGAAAACACTCCGACGCTCAAGTTAGCAATATTCAATATTCTAGAGAGAAAAACTCTCAAAGAGTAATTGCAGAGAGAGAAACGTAGTGGAGTTAATACCTTAAGTGGAAGTAGTTGGGAGGTATTTATAACCTCATGTGCTGACATGAGTCCATACGTGTAAGCATCCGATTGATCCACGTGTTACTATCCACGTGGGTATGTCTGTACTAGTGTATAAATGTCTCTTCATTTTGAGTTTTTGGATGTACGATTGGATCTATTATACATGACCCATATTGAATGTTGAATCCATTCCCAATAGTCGCCAAAGTTGTATGTCGTTGAAGTAATCGCCCACGCCCAATATTAAGATTTTAAAGTTAGTATGGTACTGAAAAGGATTTGATTTATTTAACTTTGACTGCTGTGTATCATTAATAGTTAGAAACAAACTATTATTTGTTAGACCTTTTTCTTCAATATTAACATAAAAAATTAGTAATATAGAATGGAGGGAGACACAATTTTAAAATGTTAGTGACAGGAATTGTTAGAGACTTAATAAAACATACTTCAGAAATTTCATTTTCAAAGTTCAAGGAAAATTTTAATTAAAAATATCTTTTAACAGGGCTATGAAAAATTTTGCAAAATTTTGGAAATTTCTCTTGGATTTATTATTCCTTTGTTTGATAACGTGTGATGTAGGTCATTACAAATTTAATAGTATTGTATATTTTAAATTACATAATATAAATTATTAAATAAAAAATAAATACTTTAACTGTAAAATTATTTTTTATTTTATAATTTTTATTTTATAATTTTATACAATTCAAACCGTAAAATAAAAATCTCTTACAAATTACTCGATTACATTACACACATTGTTAAATGCTAACTTTCTTTTTTTTCCTCTTTTGTGAAAGAACAGTAGTAGTAAGATAAGAAATTTGCTTGCAAGATGTTAATTACGATGGGATGGTGGCTGCGGCTTATTGGTTAGAGGGACGATTTTATTAAAAGAAATTTTTGGTAAAGTGATTAAAAAAGTATTATAAGAAAAGATAATATGTTTTACTGTAAAATTTGGTTGAAATTTTATTAAATTATTAATTTTTTGTATTTAATAAAAAACTAATATAAAAATTGAAGGAAGTTATCAAATGGAATTTATATAGAAAAAGTTGTGGGAAACACTTTTTCCTTCAAAAAGTGTAAAAAGAAAAGGTTTATGGGTTTGAAATTATGTAAGAAAAAATAAAAAATAAAAATATTACTTTTATACTTATTTTTTTATAATATTAATGTATAAAAATAAATTACTGGCATTAAAAATACCTCAACTTGTTAAAATGGTTCAATATCATCCTTGTACTTTAGAAATGTAAATCATGCCATCCAACTATCGGTCAATCCCTCCGTTAAATCCCACGTCATGTCATATTTTCTCTGATTTAGCATTTGACACTCCGCTCACTGATTTGGAGGGGTCCATTACTATAAAAATGTATTCAAATAAAATCCAATAAATTTTGAATTATAAAAATAGAGCCCATATCCTAAATTAAAGATAAAAAGGAAAAATAAGAAAAAAAAATCTCATTCTTCCTAAATATATGTCTATTTATGCTCATTTATCATCATCATCCCTACATTAATTAACCTTACCAAAGCACCATAGCCATAAATTTCTATCATGAAAACAATATACCCACCAAAATCTTCCTTCTAAACATCACCAATAAATATTATGATTTTAGATAAGATGAATCAAGATCTTTAAACAAAAGTTTAACATAATTCATTGGTTTTTTATATCAATTTTATTGTTGAAAATCCATCAAACTTGATAGAGTGGAAATAGGGAACATAAATATTCTATCCACATAAATTTTCTATCCACTCTCTGAGTTTTTTCTCGAGACAAAGAAAAGAAGTTTCTCCCACTAGTTTCTCAATTCCCGCTTTAAGTAAATTATCTTCACCAACTAATTTTGCCTCTAAGTTTCTCAATTCCCGCTTTAAGTAAATTATCTTCACCAACTAATTTTTTCTTATTTATTTATTTTCAATTTATTTTTATTAATTAACATAGGTGCACTAATTACTATAAAAAAACTCACTTTCTATTTGACTTTTGTACTTTCATTTCTACATTTCATATAAAAGGGTAAAATGAAAAGTCAATTTTTTTCTTATTTTTTATTTTCATATTAATATTGATCAATTTAAGCACTCCTAATCTTAACAATTAAGTTTTAATTAAATGAAGTTTTAATTAAACAAATATTGAAAACATAATTTAACTTCTATATGATTTTATTTACCAAAAAAAAAACTTTTATATGATTTTATCTAATTTTTTCATTTCTATGTTTTAAATGGAAGGATAAAAAGGTAGTTTTGAACTAAATTTTCTTAATTTTAACACCGTTAATATCATATCAATGCCAAATCAGCAATCCTGTTAACAGTCACTAACGGCAGTTGACTGAGGGACCATGGTTGGCTTCTTTTTCTAAGTTCAAGGATTTTTATGAATTGTTTTAAGATATTAGGATGACAATAAACTTTTTTGACATGTTGAGGGATTTTTACTATATAGGTTTAAGTTTATAAAAATAAATAAATAACCGTGGAAAAAATTAGAGAAATTTGTCCCTATCCCAAACCACCCTCCTCCCGTTGTCTGAGATGTCTACATCCTTCACGTTCAGCTTTCATTTCCACCCGGCAACTTCGGTAAACGATAACCGACGACTTGTCGAGCTCGGATGACTTGACATAACTATTAAGAGCATATATAACGAAAAATATCACAAAAATTTATTTTAGTGTTATATTATTAATGGTAGTGTGTATTAATTTTAATTTT